TAAGAGATGTCCAATGTTTCTTGGGATTTGCCAATTACTATCGGATCTTCATCAAAGATTTCTCACGAATTGCAGCTCCACTTACACGCTTGACTAGTAAAGATAAATTTCAATGGAATCAAGAAGCGGAAGCAGCATTTGAAGCCTTGAAGACATCGTTTGTCTCTGCACCAGTCTTATATCGTGTTGACTTTTCCAAGGTATTTTTTATGGAAACAGATGCATCAGATTTTGCCTTGGGTGTAGTTTTATCACAAATGGGAACAGATGACAAACTTCATTCGATAGCTTTTCATTCAAGAAAATTCTCAGTAGCCGAGATCAATTATGAGATCCACGATAAAGAACTTCTTGCGATCATGGATTCCTTTCAAGAATGGCGTCATTATCTAGAAGGCGCTTCTAGTCCAGTCACTGTGTATACAGATCACAAGAACCTCGAGTATTTCATGTCAGCACGCGTGTTGAATCGTCGTCAAGCTCGTTGGAGTATGTCTTTGTCAAGATTCGAGTTCATTATCACTTATCGGCCAGGAAAACAATAAGGTTTGTCCGATGCCCTATCTAGACGTTCTTATTTTGCACCAAAAGAAGGAGATGCAGCTTTTGAGCAACAAAGAACGGTCCTCTTGAAACCGGAGCAATTTCATCTCCGAGCAATGAAATCAACATTGACTGTTGATTCAACTTTTCTCAAGCAAATCCAATCCAGTATGTCCTCAGACCCTCTTGTTCATGATATCGAGAATAATTCTTCCAAGTCTCATGATCCTTCTAAGTTCGAGTTCAAGAATAATCTATTATATTTTGAAGGACGCCTATATGTTCCAGAAGGAGAAGCACGTTTATGTGTTCTTCAAGCACGTCATGACTTTCCAGCAGCAGGGCACTTTGGATATAATAAGACTTTGGAACTCATATCAAGAGATTTTTGGTGGCCACAAATGTGGAAGTCAGTCAAAGACTTTGTACAATCATGTGATATTTGTTCAAGATCAAAAATTCCTTGTCATCGATCTTACGGACTTCTTTAGCCATTACCTATACCAGAACAACCATGGTCTTCTGTTTCTATGGATTTCATCACAGATCTTCCAAGCTCAAGATCTTACGATTCTATATTTGTGATAGTAGATCGTTTCACCAAGATGGCACATTTTGTGCCATGTACAAAATCTATCACAGGTGAAAAAACAGCTAAGCTTTTCATTGATAATATCTATCGCTATCATGGATTACCTATAGATATCATATCGGATAGGGGAACTCAATTTGTGTCAAGATTTTAGAGGACCCTTTTCAAGATTTTAAAAGTGAACATAAAGCTATCTTCGGCTTTCCATCCTCAAACTGATGGACAAACAGAGCGCGTAAACCAAGTCTTGGAGCAATATTTAAGGTGTACTATCAACTACCAACAAGATGATTGGACAACCCTTCTCCCATTGGCAGAGTTTGCTTATAATAATACGGTACATTCTTCCACGCAACAAACACCTTTCTTTGCCAATTATGGCTATCATCCACGACTTGATACTTTTGATTTTTCAAAAGTTGATAATCCTGCAGCAGAAGATATGGCAAATCGGTTGTCAGAGTTACATGCAATAATGAAGACGCAATTGAAGAAAGCTCAAGAACGACAAAAGATAAACGCAGATCTATATCGTAAGGAGCAACCACAACTCAATGTGGGTGATAAGGTATGGCTACTTCGTCGCAATATCAAGACTACTCGATCTTGTGACAAGTTGGACTATCGTAGGCTTGGCCCCTTTTCTGTTTCTGAACAGATCAACCCAGTTGCATATCGGTTACATCTACCGGAGTCAATGAAGATCCATCTTGTATTCCACGTGTCTCTTCTTGAACCATATAAGACAGTGGATATACAAGGAAGAAGACAAATGCCACCGCCTCCTATAGAAGTAGATAATAATGAAGAATTTGAGGTGGAAGAGATATTAGACTCAAGGCAGCGCCGAAATAAGCTGAAATATCTTGTTCATTGGCGCGGATATGATATTAGTGAACGCACATGGGAGCCATCCAGGAATCTAGCGAATGCATCAGCTAAAGTCAAAGTTTTTCATCAACGACATCCATCGAAACCAAGATGAAAATCTCTCTTATAAAAGAGACAAGATTGAGGCAAGATAACATTCAATTTCTTATCCTTGTTTGTAACTTCTTTGCATTTGTGACGCTAATTAGATGGAGAGCCAACAACCAACGGATTCAACTCAAGAACCTTCGTTTACTGACCTGCCGGACAAGACATTACGATTGTCACAACCTTCAAGACGACTCAATCGAGATGAAGATCTTCAAGAACGACATGTTCTTCCTCGAATAGATGGTGAGATACAACGCATTTGGTATCACGATTTGGGAAGGGACTCTCGATGTTTGGTGATTTTGCTAGAGGTAGGAACAACTCGTGATGGTGTTCCGAGTATTCTATTCGAAGAAAGTTACGAAGGCCTCAACAATGATCAAATAACTGGGTGGTCTTCCCGCCCTAGTATGGGACACTACCGATGGTTGAGAGGCCCTATCAATCATCTTCGAAGAGAACAGAGATCAGAGTATGTGGCGAATATAATTCGTCGCATCATAGATTTCCTCAACATATGATGACCGCTCCTTGTGGAACTCGTCTCTAGAAGGGGGGGTAATGTCACGGCCATAATCATGTAAGCTAATAATTACATATAGAAATAGGTAGAAGTAAGTAAAAGTAGATAAAAGTAAGTTAATTCTATAATATTTAATATAGAAGCTTCCTAGAAACTTCCTAGACGTTGCTTTGACTTCATAGGTGTCTTTAATTGACTTTTTGGATTAGAAACGTGGTCAACAAGTTGGCCATGTGCCACACATGTTGTTAGCTTGAAGATCAAGCTAACTATGTGGCCCACACGTAGAAAAACTTGCCTTGTAAGTCAAGGCATGTGTCCTACAAAGTCAACACATATTTGAGGTCCTATAGAACGTCGCCACGTAGCCCCTAGTTAGATAGTATATATAGAGACAAGAGTGAAGGCTTCTTCACTCTTGTGAACTCATTTCTTGCTTCTAGTCCAGGTTCAAGAGTCTTTAGTTTCTTGTCTTGTGGCAATAGCCATTCCAGTTTCCTTTTAATATACCTACTTGTTTATATTTTGACTTATTATATCGAGATAGCCTTTTTGTGTATATTTTCCCTCATCGAGTCTTTGTCCTTGACATTATAAGTACTTCTTTTCATAAGTTGTTGGTTGTTTCTTCAATCTATTAAAAAACACATGTAATTTATACACATTTTCTTTCATATACATCTTTATTATTAATATCAAATAAACTCATTCAATATTCAAAAATCACTTGATATATTAGCTAATATTATTCAACTTGATGGTCTTAGCTTCATCAAATATGTACTTCTTATTTATGTATCAACATAAGTTTCATTGTATAGATCTAAATGTCACAAGTTGTTGTGTTCTTTTTCATAACAAGATTTAAAATTTAGGATTATTTTAAATAATATATACTTAATTTTATTAAATTTATGTGTCATTTTGAGTAAAATTATTTTTTATGTAGAAGGTGCTATCTAACCATATTCCTTCTAAAAACTACATGAAATAACCTATAAAATAAATATTTATTTAAGGTATAAATCTAATTCTTTAATATTTTAGTTACATTATGCTTATATAATGCCTTATTGTAAATATAATATTCAAGTACAACAATTGTTAATCTATACTATTTTTAAATAAGATTGAAACTACTTACACATATATTTTGGATTTAATAAAAATTTGAAGAATTTTTATATTTTTTTAAATTTTTATATTTGAATTCATACTTTTATAGGTCTTTTTAAGAATAGGTTTTTTTTAGTTAATACCTATTTAATATGTTTTATTAATCATATCCTTTTTAATATACATAATAATATACATAAAAATATTAAAGTTTAAAATGTAAAAATATTTTTTGATTTATATGTATATTGACCAAATAGAGAATATTGTTTTTATTAAAAATTACATTGTATGTTTGATACAAGTGTATGTTTTATATTTAAGCATTGTAACAAGTTATTTTTTATGTTGTGATTTTTTTCAAAGTAATATAAAAAATTTAAGAAAGATGAAGCATGCAATTTATAACATGTAGGAGAATTGTTTTAGATTTCATCTTTTTCAAAGAGTTTTTTTAGATTTTATGTTTAATTTATACATAGTTGTAAATAGAAAATAGTATATAATTTTATTATTTTTATATAAATACACTATAGTACAAATTATAATGTAGCTTAATTTAAATTTTAAAATTATATATATATATATACATAAATATATTTAAAATACTGAGAGTAATATATATTTAGCAAATCAATGAAATAATGCTAGCAATAAGTAAAATCCTAGAGCCAATTTAAACTCAATTCTTGCTCTAATATTACATATCACTTTTGACAAAGTCAAGATAGATATGTTAACTTGACTTTTGTAAATTATGAAACTATTAGCATTTTTTTAATACTAAATTATGTATATTTTTTTTTGTCAATTTTTGACTTAGAGCATCGCCACCCGATGGCAACAATAGGGGTAGCCAATGGGTGGATGGTGTGGCAGCATGGCGCACAGGCTAGGGCGGCCCCAACATAGTCTCCACCCACAAGGTGGGGTGGCCGGCATAAGCCAGGCCCAGTGCCACATGACCGCCCCACATTGGCTTCCCTAGGACCCCAATCTCAAATCCCCCCCTCCCTCTTAGCAACAACAAATTCAGGTTTTACAGCTTTTTCGTGCCAAGCAACATGGGTTTCCGCTAGTATATATACATATTCAAATATGCAAGCGTAACAGTCTTTTCCAGTCTGTCACCGAATCCAAAATACCCGACATTGATGTTTTTTGTTACTTTTGACATTTTTTTAGCATCCAAAGTGAGATCCAATTCCTTTGGGACTATTTACTCTCTCAAGTACACCAGGCAGAGTTGAGGAAGCACACGTCCACTCTCCATCTCTGTGTTCATCTTTTCGGAAACATCACCGACAGTAAACAAATTCGACCGCGCTTGCCGACTAAACACAATTCTCCGACTAGAGAAAGCGAAGTCGGACGAATTTGAGTCAACGGAACTACAACGGGGTCGAATCCGAACGCCAAAAACAAGCTCAACAAATGCTCTCTCATGCTTCATCGAAATGAGTGCATGATCGTGGGGGTGAAGCAACGAAGTTGCGATGACCGGTTTTAATCGGTATTCCTCTTCTTGCAGGTTGCGAATTCACAGGGCGCGAAGCATCTCCGGAGATCCTGAGCTATTCCTTATCAATTGATCCTTAAACAGGCGGTATTTATTTATTTATTTATTTATTTTCTGCACTGCACCCCCACTCCGATGCTTCAGTCCCACCTGAACGTAAAAGAGTTAGTTGCTACAATCAGATTGCTGGGATCGTTGGAAGTCTAGGTTTGTCGCGGTGACGTGAATCCGTTTCTGATTGCCATGGCGGTGATGTTCGCATATGTTGCGATGCTTTTCGCTTCTGTACTCGTTGCAGGAGTTGGAGTTGGGGGACAATCACTGTACTGTAGGGAAGCGACCTACTCCTCGTTGGCGCCGTGCTCGAAGTACATGGCGGTGAATTCCAATTCCTCGACCCCTACTCCGACGTGTTGCTCTAGTATTTTGGCCTTGAATACCAAACAGCCCGACTGTCTTTGCCAGATTATGACACAGCTTCTGAACTCGACGTTAACAGGGGTGAATTCGACTAAAGCGCACCAGATTCCCGTCATGTGCTGCATCGCTGTTGACACGGTGAAGTGCCCGGCATTTGCACCACCTCCGGGCTCGTCGATTGCTCCACCGGCTTCATGTGTAGCGCTGGCTCCCTCCGGCCCTTACATGGATGGCGCTCCCGGCGTGCAAGCAAATCCGCCGGAGGTGTCCGCTGCCTCGCCGATCAGAGGCTGGTGGCTGATGAAGTGGATAGTGGATTGACTGCGGCTTTTCCTGCAGCATATTGGCTAAATGGGGAATACACCTTCGCTGATTATTTCATTGCTTATTTTTTTGTGTTTTATTTTCTATTTTCTATTTTTCAAGTTGATTTGCGGTATTATATGATTTGGTGCATTGATTGCGATAGGAGTTGAAGTGATCCGGGACAAAACCCTACATGTGACGTCCATTTAGAAAGTGGATCACAAGATTGTATATATTTAAACGACAGAGGAACTACCCAAGAGTATTCGTGAAGGTTAAGATTGGGTGAAACTGTTGAAGGGGAACCCTAAATGTTGCTTGAAGTTGGAAGCCTAGATATTACTCTACACACGGATCACCGGAGATGTAGTTTTTGAGAAACTTGAATTTGCAATGAAGATAGTGATTCATGAACTTTGTGGAGCAACCTCGTTCAAAACGACCTCCAAAAATGTGATTCGCGTGCAATCAATCTCTTTGCTTCTCCACTATGGAAGGCCGCAAATGCCACATATACGAATTCTGTATCTACAAGCTTGTAATGCATTTGATCCGCCGTGTTTTTGTGTTGAAGACCCAGGTTTAACGCCTTGCTCAATTTTGAATTACTGGTAAAGGGGAATAGAGAGTTGTCGGAATGTATGACCAGCAAAATGAATTCCGCTTCCCCATATGTAGAGAGCATCAACGTGCCTTTTTAAAGCTTACCTCTTTAGATTTACAACTTTTGATCAACTCAGCTAAGTTGCCAGAAAGATTATGTTGGAGGTATACTTGGCTTGTAGAAATAACGAAAAAAATCTTGACCTCATGCGACAGCACATGCAGTCCACTTGTCAGACATGGTTCATTTCAGTCTCGCTTAATAGTAGTGATAGGAGTGCCGTTTGCAATCCCAAGCTCATTCCATCGTGCTATGACGTTAAAAGGTTCGCTCCTTCGATTCCACTCTAACAATGCGACACGGCCCGAGGACAACCTTCCTGACCTCACCTGCGAACCAATACCAGTGTTTAGTTCCGATTACTGAATGAAGGCGTGACGCGGGACTCGATCAAAGCTTTTAATCTGCCTTCTTCACGGCAGGAACGATCACTGTTAGGATATCCAGTTCAACCTCGTAAACAGTACGTAGGAGCAAATTTTCGACCGACTGGAAGACTCTTTCAAGTGCACCAGACAACACGGGACAATATTTTGTGTCTCATTCGAAACGGTAGCAGTTCGAAACAGTTTCAGAGCAGACAGCACCTAACTTGTAAACCACAACGTCAACATAGCGAGGAACTCTAGGTATGACGAGAATCACACATGATTCGCCCAGATCAACCCCAACGTTGTGTACCAGCAAGGATGAAAAATACACCACACAGAGCAAAGTTCAAAAAAACCACAAACACGGTCGAGGTACACTCTACTCAGAGATCGAAAGGCAAAAGAGCGAGGGGATGGCACGCCGTCAAATGCCAGCGTCGACGGCAACAAACCTGCTGTGCATTGGGATCAGAACATCATCATCAAGTGGTTTGCGAGCCCGTGCTGTGGTTGCATCACTTGCTGAGATTTGATGTAACGACGTCGTAAAGAGTTTCAGAAGCTCATGAGTTTGAAAAACCTCATGATGTGGGGGAAGCGAGAAACGAACCTTAACCTAAACACATGGAAATGTGAGCACGAGAGTTGCACGCCAACTACAATGTCCTTCATTTGTTTATGAAAAAAATATATATATATATATATATATGTATTATAACGTGAATATTTTGAGGACATGAGCATATTCAAAACATAATAAAGTATTTCTACACAAGAGGCCAGAAATGAAATATTTAATATATTTGTGCATATTTGTCTTATTGAATATGAGTATGTGTGTGTGTAGTCTATTTGTGCATAGTATAAATGCACACATAAAATTTAAGAACTGCTTAATATGGAAATTTGAGAGCAAAAAGATGAAAAAAATGGATTGAATAAAAAACCCCCCCATCTACTTTCTATATGTACTAACACAAAGAAGTTCCGTTGACTCAAATTTGGTCTTACTAGACAATTTATCACAAAGAAGCTGTAATTTGTTTTTGAAAGATAAAAAAACATGGAACATACATAAAACCAGAGTCCCAAGAAGAAGCCACTCGGCGCATGTGGTGAGGTGGATACAAGATCCATCATCTTCGGTGGTGGTATCAAGCAAACGTAAAAGGACGCTTCGTTCAAATCTTTAGTTCCCGGGATGCCTCTGTCATCAAGCTCACACCGGAGATGCAGACAACGCAGAACAGGGCAGAGATCCGATGGAGAGGATGCAGTGAACCGGGGCCCACGAGTTCTTCACTTCACCTGAGGTCCGTCACAACATCGGGGAACATTGTGGTTACCTGGCTGTTCACGGCGGCATTTCGTGTGTGTGTAGGGGCAACGACAGCGATGGCGGCTCTCTCTCGCCCTCTCGCTCTCTCTGCAAGCTGCCATTGCTGGGTGTGAAAAGCATTTACCAAGATTAGAGCTGCTGTGCTACGTGCTCACCTTGGGAGAAAGTGGGTTTGCGTGGCGATATCGTGAAGCAGAGCGTGAGATACGTCACGCATTTGTGAGGGGAAAACGAGAGTAGTGATCTGAAAGAGGTGGGAGTTGACAGCGTGTGCGGCAATGGGCTCGAACAGCAACTTGCCCAGAATAAGAGCGGAGGACAATGTAAAAATAGAATAGAATAGAAGAGCAGAGGACGCTGGGATTCTCGAGGCTGAGGTCGAAGGTAACAGGGAAGACCACGAGAGGGGGGCTGCGCGGGAGGGCGTGCAGAGAGAGTGAGTGAGTTGTGCTTGGAGCGGGTCCGCTTCGTTGCACGCCTCGTTCGGATACACAAGTGGTCTAGATTTTGATCGATGTATATGCCGATTATTGTCCCTTGTAATATCTGATATAAATATATATATCAACCCATCCTTCACCATCGGCTGGAATAGCTCAGTTGGTTAGAGCGTGTGGCTGTTAACCACAAGGTCGGAGGTTCGACCCCTCCTTCTAGCGCCATTGCTTAGTTCTAGAGAATGATCTGTATGTACCGATATATCTGTTTTCCTTGAACGTCATATGATTAATGTTTTGCAAGCCCTATTGAAAATCAACAAAATTATTCATACTTTGTTTGTTTTTGCAATAAACCTTGAACATTTTTGAAATGATAAAGAAGTTATAGTGTATGCTACACCAGTTTACTCTAATTATTTTTATTTTTTAGAAAACATCAGAATGTTAAATCAATAAAAACCATTTGCAAGTTCAATTGCAAATTTTGATGTCTATCATTTGTGGATTTTATTTTGTGAAGGATGGAGTGAATATCATCTTTAAATTGGAGTGAATATCATCTTTAAATTGGAGTGAATGTCACTTAGCTTGTTTTTGCATAATGTAACATTGCTTTGTAACATTTTATTTACAGCAATAATTTATTTTGCCTATTGAATTTTAAAAATTAAAGCTCGATTGATTTATTTATATTTACAATCTTTTTATATAGCTTACATAATATAGCTAATTGTAATAATGTGATTTGTATTTTAAATGATTTTTTTATATATACTTATAAAGTATTGTTTCACTAAAATACTATGAAATAATAAAAGTTGAGAAATTTTGGAATAAGATAATGTTTTGTAGCATTTGTTTGATTTGCAAAAAACATTAAAATAATTCAGCCCTCTAAAGTAACCATTCTCAACTTAGCATGAAGAACCAATAATTAAAAATGTCATAATTTAAAACATTGTTACTTTTACTAATCGATTTGAAACATGGTTATTCTAGGTAAAGTATGCAAGGGAACTATTTTGTGTTTAAAAAATAAAATAAATCAGAATAAATAACTGCTTAAGGAAAACTCTTATATTTCAAATTTATTCTCTTACTGTCGAAGAGAGTCGTTCAAAGTATAATGACTAAATTGACTAATAAGACCAAAATCAGCCAGTTTTTATTAAAGAACTAAACAACCATTAAAATGAATGTACAATTCATGTATGGAACATTTGATTGTTTATATATATATATATATATATATATATACACACATCACAATCAAATTTCATCAAATCCTCTTCAGATACAAAAAAATTAATCAATTTTTAAAAATTACACAAACTGCTTAAGAATGATTTCTAATTAGAGCCGATTTGTTTCAACAAAAGCATCATCACATCGTCATGTCTGCTTTGCAAAAGCCCTTTTTTCTATTATGAACTCTATGTATTGCATCACAAACCCTAAATCCCTGAACACTATGCTACATCATGAGCATTGTGTGTTGCCTAAACCCTAAACCCCAACCGGGTGCAATACTTTATGTTTAGAAGGCAATGTTGTTGCAGCAGCAGCAGCAGGTATCTTACAAAACTTCGTATCCTGTCGAAGACAAGTTCCATAGACTGCTTGGTACCTCGGCGTGTGTGTGGATCAAGACCCCGTGACAGAATTGCCCGCTGACAAATCATCAATGACCTGCAAATTTGATGAGCGATGCTGCATTGGTGACTTCCTCTCTTGACTTGTATCTCTGCGTAAACTGTGTTTTGATCTGCAATAAGTAGTGGCTGGGTAAGAATCGCCCAGGGTGCGAAAGCATGGCTTCTCAAGAATATGAGGCGATAGGAACATAGTAGAAAATAAAAATAAGACAATGGAATTGCAAGTCTCATCCTCTCGTTCTGTAGTGACTTGACCTAAATTTTGAACAAAACCCGAAACGAGCTCAATCGAACACGGTTGAGATGTGTTTTCCGAGCAACATTCGCGGATAAAACACCGAAACAGTAAATGGAAGTGGACGAGATCGACATGTGGCAAAATCCTGCAAATTCAATCACGCCGATGGGCCCATGAAGGAGACAAGGATTTTTGGCTACGGAAGGAGTGGCTTGATTACGGCACTCAGAGGAGAGGACGGCAGCGGCCCGAGTATAACCATAGCAAAGCAGCTCCATGATCAGCTTGAAGTCCACGGGAATGATGATCGCGCGGATTCACACTCCTGCGAAAAATGAGAACACTGTGAATCTTCAAGTAGGGGCCAATCTGTGCTGCAGAGATCTTTAACAGAAAGGAGTGCCCGATCCAAAGCACTCTGTGTACTCGGATTCCGAGGAAGGACGAAAAGTAACCCCAGGAACGTGGCATGGTCTTGGCCACATGATGCAACAAGTACCAATGCCCTCATTTCGTCACTGTGTTTAAAATTTTGCGAAAGCTCGAAAATTAGGGTGAGCGACACTAGTTACAAAACAAGTCTACACTGCTGATTCTGAGAACGAAGCTCACCATTACTACCTGAAGGCTCTATAATACAGATGACCTTTTGTAGGACGTTACACGTTAATAGCTAGCTATTTGTAAATGTGCTTGTTAGGGTGAAGCTAGGTCGACTACTTGAAATGCAACTACTATCAATTTACAGAGCCATGCAACGAAGGATGCCCAGCTCAATGGAGGTCGACCTAGACACTGACAGGTGGTGGTGATTGTGAATGATCGAGGTCGCCGAGATCACTTGCAGAAAGAAGAGTGGTAGTAGTTTGGAGCTCGTCGTAGCAATCTTTAAACTTGGGCTGTAGCCATGCAGGGAGTCGCAACAGTAGTACAGAAGTATTAGTTTGTATCCATAGTGATTCTCCGATGACGAAATTGTTCTTGGTTCTGCAGTGATCGGTTTGCCTAGATGGGTACTTGTCGATGCATCTTGGATACAGCGGCATGAACCCTGATTCTTCCCTTTCGTAGTGCACTCTAGCTGTTGGTCATTTCCACGCGCAGATAGTGGTCGACAGAAACGACATCATTTGCAATTACAGAGGTAGCAAATGGCTTCATTGTTTCGCTTGATGCGAAGTCCCAGGAGGGAATGCCAGCAGAAATTGGACAAGATTCAGCAAACTTCCCAGTGTTTTGATGGAGGAGGTAGTCTGCGTCGCCCTTCCACGCAAGCACGAGTACCCAGAAGGAAATTGCGCATGACTACGCAAGGAAGCACACTGCAGACGCTCAGAGATGGTAAGGAATCAACTGGCGATCTCGTTCAGCTCCCGAACTCTGTTGCATTTTCGGTGACTCCACCGAGATCAAGTGTCAAAGTTTCTAATTATATTGTTCAGATCGGTTGATAAGCTCCGAATCGGCTGAAAGAATACATGTGCGCATTGTCGAATAGAAAAAAACGATTAGAACAACGACTCCGTTCAACTTCGAACCCAATATTTAGAGCCCCACCGAGTTGAGAGGGCCGGATTTTGTGGCGAGTCTAGGGTTTGGTTGGTGTCTTTCTTCTACCCGGTTAGTGGTTGGATTATTGCTGGTGAGCATCTTCAAGAAGCGCATTGATGGTGCGCTTCCTTAACTCGGGTTGGTGGTTGTCCGTTTTCATGCTCAATGCTTTTGATGTTTTTGATAGGTGCCACTTTGCATTGTGTTGTTGGTTTGAGGGCTTTACGTGATTTGCTCCAGCATCCGTTGATTGCGTGTCGTGGATCGTGGATCTCGGCTTTTGCGTTAGGTGTGGTTCATTACGGTTGTAGTCCAGCCGTATCTTTGTTCTTGTGTTGGAGGCTCGAGGGGGCGTGGCCGTGGGGTAGTTCACTTCGTAGATCCTGGTTTTGGTTCGCCGCATTGTGCTCGCAATGTGGTCGAGGGCGAGATTTGAAGGCAATGAGGAAATCCTCACGAAGTTGGAATCATAGACCTGAGAGGGCTCTAGTGATAGTGTGTCAGTACATTTTTTTTTTAAGCCATATGTTGTGTAGATGCACGGAGGAGTCGATTGTATACCACATTCTGGTCATTTGGACTTCGATTTTAAGAGATGTGTCTGACAAATGGAACGTTGAGGATGCTAGATTTTTTGCAACGATGTGCACGTCGTTGCGATAATGTGCGGTACCGTTACCATTTCTGAAGAATTTCCGTTGAGGCGAAGTGAACACGCCCACGATCACTTCGAAAACCTCAATGGGTCATCGTAGACAGCAGTCACCGTGCTACTCTTTGCCGCATTAGTAAAGGATTGAAACTGTTCAATGCCAAACTACCGAGGGCAGTGACTGACTTAGCGATGGAAAGGGACCTATGTTGTGATGACTCTGGATTTTGGGTTCACATCTTTTGATAATTATGTCACGTGTGGTGTCGACACTCCTGACTGGATGGGTTGCTACGTTTAGAGCAGTGCATCTAGCTGGACATTATTGTGGAGTTAATACGATGAGTGTGTATGCGGGTGTGTATCAGTGAGCCTCCAAAGCCCAAGGATCAAGGATCTGCCCGAGCCAAATCGAATGAATCTAAATGGCAGAAAATGCTCACCAGCAATAATCCAAACATGGTAAAAACACACTTCAGTTCCTGCTTCAATTCGTGATGTTACTCTTAAGATTGTTGCGTAGTTAGTGTGTTTCATTACAGTGCGCCTCGAAGCTGTGGCCTTACAGTTGAAGGCAGTGTGATTTTCTCTGGCTAATATACTCGTTATTCTTTTTCCACATACGTTTCACTCTGAATTCGATCACATTCAGCGAGAACAGCTAGGAGAAATTCTTGTGGCATCTTGAATGATCGGGTAAAGTTTAGGGTCTAGGGTTTTGTGGGATCAACTTGAACATTGATTTTCCTAATCCTCACAGGTGATTGGAACGCGCTTTAGCTGATGGAGCATGGATGTATATGGACGTTTTTTGTGTTACAGCTGAAGGTGGGCGATGGATTGCAACAATTTAAGCCCTTGCAAATTGAGGGCACAAGGAATCTGGAGCACCAAGTCACTTCCATTGTTCTGGATCCTAAGACTACCAGATGAGACCAGACCTGGGGTGGGATTCGTGCCGTTTGTATTGTGAACTTGATCCCAGACATGGTCTCAGCTCATGGAAGGATACACCATCTACTGCTCGAATGTGGAGACCTTGTTCAGGAAGCATGCAGAATGGCTTTCTAGCTCTCTCTACACTGTGCATGGTCTCTATTTGTGGCGCATCTTTGCTTTATTAAAGGAATTCTCAAGGTCGAATCGTAAAGGAATAGAGAATGGCAGAGATTGAGAAGCCGAAGAAGAAACTCTTGAGCAGAGGATCCCCTCAAGCTTGGTTCATCAGGTTTCTAAGATCCGTCCGAAGAAATCCTCACCGGAGGTTGAGGGATCATGAACATGCGCACAGTCCTGAGCCTGTAAATACCCGGAACTCGAAGAAGGTGGTGGAGAACATATACAAAAACCAAGAAAACGCATTCAGTCGAATTGAATCTTCACCAAACTTCAACGTTCTCTTAGAGAAGGGCAGGGCCTCCAGTGCCAGTCCAAAGCCTGAAGATTCTCTGCTCAGAGCGTTTTCTAAGTCCAAGAGTTATGTGCATCCGGATGAAGCGGATGAGACGGACGAGGCGTCCTCAAGGAGCGGGACTAGCCACGGTAAGAGCAAGTCCTCGGTATTCTCTTCGCTTGGATATTTGTGTAGCGCTGCAGGAGAGGAATCGTTTTCGAAGAGAAGCTCTCGATCTGAGCAAGTTTCGTCCTCGAGTAGAAGTCGTAGTGAAAGTAGGAGTCCATGGTTCTTTCCTGGATGTGGGAGTTTCTCCTCCCGCAATCGGCGAACTCGGTATGGAAGCATGGATAACTCAAAGAAGGCGGGATTGTTGCAATTAGATGTGAACACGGAAGAGGTGTGTACAGAAGCAACGAAAGCAGAAGAAGTAGCTTCCAGAAGATGCCAGAAAGGTGAGTCTTGGGTGGGAGATGATACCAGAACGTGGAGCATGGATCTCTCGATATATGGAGAGGTTGTGAAATGCCTCGTGAATGATGTGAAGTCGTCACCAACAGCCAACAGAAAATCTGCCACGTTAGGAGAGCTCTTCTCTGAACCTGAAACTGATGAAGCTCCCATGATCCCCCCACGTTCAGAAGACGAGTTTGATGATCCCTATCCGGCTTTTCCGTGGAGTTCATCGATGTCCTCGTTCGGCAGCAGTCGAGAGTTTTGGAGAACTGAAAAAAAGAACCGGAATGCTACAGAGAGCAGTACTGCGTTGGTGCCTTATAGTGGGGAGTTCGGTAGCGTTGACATAGGGAACATCTCAGATAGCCAGAGTCTGCTAAGAGCTAAAGTTTTCGGAGCCGAGATGTACAGAAAGCAGTGTCAGTTGGAGAAGAAGCGGGAAGAAGAAACTAAGAGACTCCTGTTGTCCCTAGACTTAGCTTTGGACCAGTACAATCACGAGAGGATTACTGAAGACGACGATTTCAAGGTTCAGAGTCCCAATTTTGAGCTCTACAATTCCCCTGTTTTTGAAAGTTTTCTAGAGTCTTCAACTAAGGCGTGGGGGACCGACCCTCTTCCACTTCGAATTGAAGGGGGGTTGAAGGATTTAAAAACCCCGGAATCTATTCGGGAGTTGCACTGCATTACTATTCCATCGCCTGATATTATGGGCAATCAGCAGGAGCTTATGCTCGATGAGGAAGGCGTGAGGGACACGACTCTCTGTGGCGACGCTCCTTCTGCTGCTGGCAAGGCGCGCAATAGTACGAAGTGCAGTGTGGACACAAGCACTCAAGCGAAACGATCTCCTTCCACTTCAATCTGTGAGGATAGGATCCACCATCCGCAAGGAGAAGACAATGCAGTGCTCAACTTTGCACGTCTACAGATTGATGAGCTGAGCACTCGGAAGAGACGATTCAGCAAGCCACGAAGAGCCCACAAGCAACGGAGGTTCAAACAAACAGCCTTCGGGGCTGAGAGCTCCGTTTCTCCTCGACCCCCTCGTCCTGTTGGAAATGTTGTCAAGGAGAGTGTGGCAGTGGTTGTGGAAAGCTCCTATGATCCTTACGCTGATTTTCGTGAGTCCATGATTGACATGATCGTTGATCAGAACATCCAACAAACTTCCGATTTGGAAGAGCTCCTGCAGTGCTACCTTGCATTAAACGAGCCAGAGTATCACCCAGTGATTGTTGATGTCTTCTCAGACGTCTGGCATGAACTGTTTGAGGACAACAGCACTTGAACCTGGTTTCAGAAACCAGCTTTTGTTGTCAACTTCACCGGTTCAGTGATCAGATTGTTCCTCGTGCCTTCAGTGCCTGAATTCCAAACTCAGGTGGATTCTCTAGGCTCTTCCAAACTATTTTTGCCCTGAAACCCTGTGTGGGATCGGGTGTAGTGTGCAAGTGCAGATGAGGAATAATTATCCTGTGGGGATAACGGATAAGTTGTGCAAAATAATTGTTACTTCTCACTGGCTTGGAATTAGCCATGAAATTGATAGTGGTATAAAGTTTTAACCATGGAAGCTAGTACGGGATAATGGTGCAGCTTCATAAGCCATAGCAGATCGACAAGAAGTTTTCCCGAGGCCATCCTTTTTTTTTTTCCCACAAAACCATTGTTTTCTTCTTCAGTGCACCTGCTTCAAACCCACATCAATTCGTGCATTGTCACCTGAATTACTCTGCTCTCTACCAAGTGATCCTAATTGTGGAAACCATTACCGCTGCTATCTCAGCATTGATCTTTCCACATTCAATTTATTCTGGTTCATGCGTCATTTAGTGCAGATTTGTGAAACCCGAATGAGAGAGGTACACTTCTAACGAGAAGCAAGGCACATTTGTGTATAACATGTTGCCTCTAGTGTGTACTGCAGCGATTTAGGAAATCACAATACAAGCAGGTTTTCGGGAGGTGTTCGAATTTCAGGAGCCCTGTTTCCAAAGAAAGACATTTGTCACATTTCAGTGAATGGCTTTTAGGATAATTTGGTATTGATGAGCGAAAAAGGCATCAAAGGTTTGGATTCACAGTGCTTACACATGATGGAAGTGAGTCTAAGAAATAGTCAATGAGTTTATCAGATTTCTAATTGGTAGCAACTTTGTCAAAAACCTGTGGTATATTCTAGTTTTGTTTATCTAGCTCTTTATTACAAAAGGTAGTAATACAGGCCGTATTTGTAAGTCCAAAACCCAAAAGAGCAAATAAAACCAACAAACAAGAGAACATGATGCATTAGTAATTTGATTCTTTGATGTATGAAGGATGGTTTATCCATCAAGTTCACGGGTATCTTTTAAACTATTCTTCCTTTACTGATTTACCAACTAGGTATATGCTTGGATAATTTCAGTACTTTCTTCTAAGTTTTTCAAGAATAGTAGTTTGAACGAGATGCAATTAAGAACTTTTTGAGTTGGATAGAGAAAATTTTAATACGGCAAAAACGTATGTTTTTATACACATGTCCATGCTAAGAGTCTTTTAACTACAGCTTACGAAGTATGCTTTATCAGGTTTCCAATACTTTTGGTTAAAACTTTGTACATTCGTATGAGGAATAATCGCTTTTTGCCTTGATATTTATCCTGTGATTACTTCAGAATATAATTTAAATAGTCAACATTGTGTTTATGTATTTTATCAAAGATACATAAACACAATGTTAACTATTTTTTAAGCACTTTCTTATGAGAAATTAACAATTGTGATCGATTAGGACTTACGGTGGCAACAGGTTTTTTTTCACCTAGTAGGCGTGGAGTAGGGAAGTGGATACGTAGAGGACAAGTAGGGCTGGAATTCCGGAGGGTGTGAATAACATATTCGTGATGACTGGTAGCTGAAAGGTCGAAAGGAGTCACAAATACGAGTCATATCAATTGTCAGTCATTTTGATGTTCACATTGAGGACTTCCCTCAGTTCTGAGCTGGTATTGGCAATTACTGCAAAGAAATCCTATATTGATAAGGGTTAAATTAAAATGAAATACAAGGCATGGAGAAGTTTCAGAACCCCGTCTTTAATAGCGAACACAATCCCAATATAATCCCAGTAAGAATAATGGGGTGTGCACAGAATTGCACACCAGAATGTCAAATTTAACTGTTACGACACACCTGAGGAGGCATCGAGAGTACAGTAGTAGTGCATATGAGATGACACCTTGAGATGCACAACTGCCTTGAATGGGACCGTAAAAATCCAAATCCCTGTGTGACATTAACTCCATGCGAATAAATTGTTATCTGTCAGCGTCCTGAAGCCGTTCCGCTCCTTGCATTTAATATCCGAGAATCAGTAACTTCCAGAAGTAACTTCCAGAAGTGCTTTCGCTTTTGGTAATGATATTTCTGCATCAGGTGACGCAGAAGGTGGATTCAAATGACTCGTATACTTAGTAGCTCCATCAGGAAGACCGAATACCCAGTCAAGAACGTTGAGGTACTTCGACCTGAATACATCTCGTTCTTGCGCATAGCAATGCATGATGATGGCGGTAGCTGCACTAAAAAGGAAGACGTCTATTCGTTTGGGAGGAGTCAAGTTGTAACGCTCTAATACTCCCCATTCGGTTACGCAAATTGCAAAACTTTCAATAGCCCTTGCAAAGCAGTAGAGGGCAAGTTCCATTCGTCGTGACTTCTTCTCAATCATCACTGCCAACCCGACTGGAAACTGTTGACACAACATGAAATAATGGTATTATAATCAATTCACCAAGAATAATGCAACAAATTGAACTCAACTATGAGACACCATGGCTAATATTAACCAACTGACAAATCAGAGGAATAAAAAAATCATGTCTGCACATACAACTTCAGATCCTTGACATGCACATCAGCAAGCATGGTAACTCTATGACAGCAAGACAAAAGTACCATGAAGATGCAAAAGCAAAGGATTCGTACAGTTGCTGTAGCTATAAGAGGTGGCTTGCAAATTCCAGTTGATCTAAACAGAAAACACGTCCAGGCCCTGTGAGAAAGTAAAGACACAGCAATAAGTAAGTTAACCGCACGTATTTGCTATCACTCAACATGAAAGTAGAAGCAACCTTCGAGAACCAAAATGTCCTAATCTCGATTCCCAAAATGCTTCCTCCGAGCAAAGATTCACCTACACCGCTTGCCCGAAACAATAACGGCTACTACTTGTATATAGCAAGATTTACATTGAGGAGCGCAGCTAGTATCGATGATATAGCTAGTAGTGTGCTACATCATCTTCGTGTAAAATGACATGCATAGTTCAATTGAGAAGTTCTAGCAACGATTTTGTTAGTAATAAAATACTTACCAAGCAGAAGAAGTGTACACTGAGAGGAAAAGGCTAGATCTGACAATTCCCAGCACCGACTTCCATAAAATGGGTGAGGGTCTGCACCAGCAACAACATAACAAGTATAACATCAAACTCCACGATTAAAATATATTTTTTTCATAAAATTCCTCCTAATTATCCCCTCAAACGTAGACTTATAATCACACCTAGCGAGAAATTACCCAGTCGAAAAGGTGTACACTTTCTCCACTCTGTGATTGAATAAATTTTACATACCTTGCAAATAGGCCTTGCCGGTGCACAAGAAGTGCAGGGACAAGGTAGACAGGTACATAGACTGGCAAAGAACGTAGATATGCTTGAACCAGAAATGAGAAGAAATGCGGCGTACAACCTTGCGTTCCATGAATCATCTGCGAGAACATCACAAAGAATTTATGCCAGATCTCAGGCGTCTCTGTCAACTTTAGATGTGCTGATTTCTACCTTCGACATACGCTAAAAGACAAGTATGAAGGAAGATCCTATGAACATGATAGAAATCGACAGGTTTTGCCTATCAGCGTTTAGCTGCACAAACCTCCACAATTTGCATCATGGACTGCTGTGATACTGGAGCCTAACAAAAAATTTAGCATAGTTCAGAAGTGCTCACTGTGCAAGGAATAGACATCTCCGGGTTCAGTTTAATGTCAAGCCCTGATGACCTGTAGTGCTCCTCGATACCCTTTAATGCAGTGAAAGGCTTTGTGTTGAATGCTAACTGGTTGATGCCCTTGATGATTGAGGCATCTTTACCTCCATGCTTATTGAGAAATGAGACATAAGATTTTGGTAAACTGGATGGCTTCAAAATCCAGGCCGTCCTACAAGATAATAACAAAATAACGACTACAAGAGCGCTTCAGCATACGATAACACATGAATTGTACGGAATAAAAGGTGCAGAAATTCATTATTTGCCCATACTTGAAAAAGAATGTTATATAAATAAATAGTTGATGCCACAAAGACAGTAAAGACCAGAAGTAACAAATTTTAACAGGGACCAGATGTTGCAAAGAAAAATTTTACATGTAATAGTCTTTAAGAAATGGGACAAGCAGAACGTACAGAATCTGACATGATGATAAGCACATGAGAAATGTATCGCCATGCTTCCAAGACAGTGGCTTACAAAGCCAACCTACGCGCTCGCTCTTTAATCCGCAGCGAGCAGCCAATACAGCTGCCCGCAGAAGTATGTAAATGGCCATGCTAGTGTGGCGCACTTTGTGTCCAGTCAATAGCAGAGATGGACCTACAATTGCTCCGGCAACCAAAGATCGCCACCTCGCAGTCCTAATTGATGATCAAAAGTAAGAAAAGCCTGGGTTAAGCAAAACCTCAAAATGAAAAAGCATTGAACGTATTAAGATAATACAGAACCTCACAACAGACCAGCGTTAACATGAAATGAGTTCTGAATCTGCTCGTGAATTAAAATCGTGATCAGCATGATACAATCTCCACCAAATTACAAAGGAAAATCGAAAAACAGTAGAAACAAGAACGTAGTTAATAAATTAAAGACGAACTAATTGGGGAGAAAAAGAAAGGGAAGAAGAAAGAAAGAAAAGTATCCGAGCCAAACCTTCGAGAGCCTCCAAGCGCTGCAATGGTTTCCTCAACGGTGCAGAAACCTCCAGCGAAGGTTCCCAAAAATAAACCATATCGAAGAGTCTCCCTCAGTGCAGCCAAAAGAGCCTGATTATTTGTCTTCCCAATCTTCACAGGCGACTTACTGCATCAAAACAGAAGGTTTATAAGTTCCACAACTTAACCAAGGAACAACCAATAATGTCTCTACCAATAATGTCTCTACCAAATAATTGCTTTTAGTCCTGCACAATTTGAAGAAAAATTTTAGTCCTGTACCTACAATGTATGGATAACTTTAGTATTAAAATGTCACCAGGGATACACGTATATCAAAGGAAGAAGATGACGGTAACATGACACAATGCAACTACCTTACGGACGATTTTCTCCTTAAACGAGTGAGGATACCAAAAAGCGAGAGACCTCCTCGAAGTCCAGCTCCAATTACAAACCCTTTGACAGATGCTGCAACACACCGCTCTATAGCTCTCCAGCTATTTCGTCCATCATCTTGCCCAGAAATAGAACAATCGTCCTTAGGTGGACCTCCTATTGTTTCAAACATACTAATCTTCTCTATACCATTAGTCAGCTTAGCCAGAGCTGCGGCACTTCTTGATTGTATCATTCTTCCATTTACCAAAACAGGGCCGCTTACCAATGAATTTTGCCCAATGTCCTTCGAATGAACCATTTTATTCAGCAGCAAAGGAACTATGACATTTTTTTTATCCCTCTCATGTTGATCTATTCTAATAACCTCTTCAACAACCTCTTCTGTGATTGAGTCCTCCGATCGCACGTTGCCTTCCATAGTTCAGTAACTTAATATTATGCCTCCGTGCCTGGTAAAGAACAACACAACCAGAGGATGAAGAACTTCATAACGGACACAAAAAAAGATTACAGAAATGGGAAGCTGGAATATACAGAGAGTTGGAATGTTGTCCCTCACAAAACCAACCCAAACGCAGCGGATAAAATATTCCAAAATAATCTTAAAATTCAGTGACCACGCTCCTCGATATAGTAAGACCCTTAATGCGCATCTATGTGCAAGTTTACATCAAGTGCCCATCTTCACTAATGCATATTCACAATCCTCGAGTCCAGAGCTTCGGTTAGCCATGATATATTACTATGCTGGTCTAGATTCCGAGAGAAGGAATTCTCCAAACTAATCAAGTGATTTCCTCCATCATAAAGTAGTGAAAAGATTTTAATTTCTTGGAGCGTATCGGGCGATGACATAACAATCCGCGGCCGTTACACGTAGGTTTTGATACAAGTTAAGTTATCTCCTTGACTCGTTAAAATTGGCGGAAAACATCAGAAGCCACTAAACAACTGATTCTCTAATGTATTCTTGAAAGTTCATGCAATATCATCAACCAAAAACGAAAAAAACAAAAAACAAAACAAAACAAAACAAAAAAAAACAAACAAACAAAGGTAGTGTCAGGAAAAACACAATGCGAGGCAGATACTTCACGAGAACACCCTTACGATTTGAGAGCCAGAGTTTGAAACACAAGATCGAATTCCCGTACTAATTCGTGCAATTAACACAATTAACAGCTCACAAACCGCAATCAAAACCCAGCAATGGAGAAAGCCGCAGGAATAGCAAAATAAACCTCGGGTAATAAACCGCAGAGGGCACGCAAACGAAAAAACTAGCTCCACACACTCTCATCTCTGCTAGAAAAATAAAACAAACAAACAAACAAGAAAACAAGAAAAGAAAAGAAAAAAACACACCGCACTAACACCGTCACAAACCTTCGCCGCAGCAACAATAACTCAACGACGCGGATCCCATCGCACTGAAAGCAGCATATCCGTCAATCGCTCGTCAGCAAGCGATGTGCAGGATACGGCGAAGGGAAGGAAATTGGCGAGAGGAGGATCGACGCACGAGAGGCGTATGATACAAACAACAGCCCCGATATCAGGAGGAGGAGAATGGGGAAGAGGAAGAGTAGGAGGAGTCGAGCCCAGCCCAGCCAATGCACCCCCGCCCCGCATGCAACGCAGTTCCCACAGTGCTTGAGGAAAGGGCTGGGCAGAGCAAGGCAGGGCGCCCCTCGCTGGATGGATGAGAGAATATTATAATCCATGTCTCATATCCCATCCCTCCTCTCATACATAGGTACATTTATCTATCCATCCATCCCCCCTGGATGCCGAGCTGTAGCTTCGTTGCCTAGGCATTGGGCCTGGCGGTTGGTGCCCACGTTTCGCCATTCATTGGGGCTCCTGACGGCAATGAGGCTCCAATGCCCGCACCATGGCCATATCTAGTTGAATTCGTATTGGTCGGAGGTGGAGGCGGAGCCCCCGAGGTGTGAGTGAGTGAGTGCCGTGGCTCCTCCACTTGTAGGAAGCTCCCCTCCCCTCTTAGCCCCCCTCTTCACCCTTTGGCAAAGCTTTGCATGGCGGGTTTTTTTAATTTAATTATCTATTTATGTTACTTATAAATATTTTTCACTCATTAGGGCCGGTAGATGTAGGCAAGGGTAGCCAAAATGCAAGAATTTCTTAAACAATGGTTGAGATTTTGTAGTTGGGATTTGAATCACCTATCACTTTAGCACCATAATATAATCTTCAGTGCAATTTTCACATGGCCTAGAATAAAACAGCATTGCCATCTGTTGGTGCTAACATGACTTGCCAAGGGATCAATGCCATGGATTCATGGCACCCTAAAAAAGATGGGCACAAGGCCATCTCAAGCCACATAACAAAGTAGTCAACAAAAGTCATATCTAGCATCACTTGCTTGCTTCTTAATGGCTCTCTTAGGACCAATCCTTCCCCCTCTCTTATCATGGACATATATATTTATTCTAATATTTATCTATATAATTAAATAAAAATAAATAAAAGTAGATTTATTTTATAATATTTTCTAAAGAAGCTTTTTAAATGTTGCTTTGACTTTACATGTATTTGTAGTTGATTGATAAGTTAGCAATTTAGTCAAGTTAACTACATGTTGATAGCTTATAAAATAAGCTAATTATGTGGTGCACATATGGAAAACTTGCCTTATAAATTAAGATATATGTCTTGCAAAGTCAACACATTTTAAAAGTCCTATAAAAGTTCACTACGTAGCTCTTAGTTTAAAATATACACGGAAGCAAGAATGAAGCTTTCTTCATTCTTTTTAACACCTTTCTAGTCTTTAGTCTTATCTTAAGACTTTTTAGTCTTCTTATCTTTGACAATAGGCATTCTAGTTTAGTATTATATCATCTTTGAGTGATTATTTAATCTTTTTGAATAATACAAGATTGTCTTAATCTTTTAGTTCTTCAAGATTAATATCCTTGATAATTTGAGAAGAATATTAATTCGTTTTTCTTATCTTGTTTCAGAAGTGAATGGATTATTCTACTTCAATTGTTATATTTTGAAGGTTGCTTATTATCCATATTATTTTTTTAAATTTTTTTTAATATTAATATTTTTCTTAAAGAGAGCAGATTATCCTTCTTTGTAGAATTTTTAATTTGATATTAGCAGTTGCAGATTACCTTCCTCTAATTTGACTTGTAGATTTATTAAGTTGTTTGAAATGGAAGAAAAAATCATAGATGCTATACTTTGCAGAAGTAAGAATAGATTTACAACTATTGTTGATCTTCATGAATTTATCAACACTCTTAATGTAGAAATTTTATGCATTATGAGCGCCAACTATGGAAATACTAATCCTATGCATATATAAGAAGTTTAAAATCTATATCAAGAAGTTGTGCAATTGAAAGAAGCAAGTAAGTTGACCTCAGAACTAAATCTAGGAAGTTTTGCTGCTATTAGTATAATAGGGACAAGAATTAATATACCTAAGAAGTTTGATGGAACAAGATCAAAATTTTGAAGATTTTTGCAACAAGTCAAGGTGTATCTAAGATTGCATCCCTTCCAATACCTTAATGGATTTATTCAAGTTGGATTCATGCATGGATTTCTATTTGGAAGTGTTTTTTTCTTGGTTTGCACCTTTAATAGAAAAGGATTCATGACTCTTTTAAGATATGAATTCATTCCTAAAAGTGTTAATGGCCACACTTTGAGAAAATAATCCAAAAAAAATACTAGAGACTAAGCTCTTGTCTTTATGACAAGAATCACAATCAACTACCATATATGTTGTTGAATTTCAAAACCTTACTTGCAACATGGACTAGAATGATAAAGCTCTTATCAATCAATTTTGATATGGATTGAAGGATAATATCAAAGATTTATTATTAATAATACTAAAAGCAAAAATCTTTAGAAGAATTTATTACTCAAGCCATTATATGTTACAATTGATTACTTGAAAAACGTCAAGAATGAAGACATGGCTAAAGAAGAAGAAGTCAGGTAATAATGGTAGCTCCTAATTTTTAAGAAATTTATTAATTAAAGCCAGAATCAATGCAAATTGATACGATATATTTTAAAATCTTCATAGAGCAGATAAAAACTTAATGTTGTCAAGGAGGCTTGTGCTTATATTATGGAGAAGCTAAACATACTACTTAATATTATCCAAAGAAACAACATAATTACAAAATAAAGAGCATGGTTGTAGAAGAAGATAATGTATCAAAAAATAAATTTCTCTAACTACAATGAAAATCATGTGGTAAGAATCTTATGTAATTCCTAGTAAAAGTCATATTCTCTCTTCAAATCTCTCACCTTCTTTTCCAATAGAATTTTATTTAGGACCAAAAAATCACAAAGACTTAGCTTTATTAGATTCAGGAGTCTCAACTTGTTGTATAGACAAAAACTTTGTCAAAAAATAAGAAACATTGTTACTCAAGAAAACTAAATCCATATATGTAGATAATTGTTTGTTATCTTTTGGAGATGTTATCTATAAGATTATTATTTTAGATGTAGCAATTAAAGATCATAATAGCATAGTAATATTTAATGTAACAAGATCTCTATTTAATCTAATTATTTTAAGATTATCTTGGTTAAAAAAGTATAATCCTCAAATAAATTGGATTTTTCATAATCTTAACTTTTCTTATAATTTGATCTAAAATTTTTTTAGTCAAGTAAAAATATATAAGCCTAGTACATCTAAATCCTTATCAATAGGTGCAAAATCTTTCATTACTATGCCAAAAGAAGGATGATCTTTTATTATATATGCCACGCCCATTTTTGATGGTGGAAAGACGTCAAGTTGTATTCCTAGCTAATATCAAGATTTTTAGGATGTTTTTTTTTTAAAAAAAAATGTAAATATTTTTTCAAAGCATGAATCTTATGATTGTTCAATTGATTTGCAAGAAAGAGCTCAACCACTATTTGCACCAATCTACAACTTATTATAAAATAAATTGACTCCATTAAAGGACTATATTAAAGAAAATTTGGCTAAAAACTTCATATGCCATTCAAAATTTCTAATAGAAGTTCCTATCTTATTTAAGGAGAAAAAAAATGGATCTCTATGGATGTGCATAGACTACCAAAGACTTATTAAGATCATCATCAAGAATATGTATTTCCTACATTTTATTTCAGGACTTCTTGACTAACTCAATCAAGTAAAGATCTACATAAAAATAGATCTACAAGGAGCATACGATTAGATTTGCATCATAGAAGGAGAAGAATGGAAGATTTCTTTTTAAATTAAATATGGATATTTTAAATATAATGTCATGTCTATTAGACTTATAAATGCACTAACTACTTTTTAATATTTCATGAATGTTGTTTTTTGTGAGTTTCTTAATGATTTTATTGTTTGTTATTTAGACAACATTCTAATCTATTCTAAACACATAGAAGAGCATAAAATTCATGTTCATTGTACATTATAAAAACTCAGAGATACAAGATTATATGCGAAGATGAAAAAATATATATTTTATATTATTCAAATTAATTTCTTAAGATACATCATTTTTAACAAAGGACTTATGATGGATCTAAAGAAAATCCATACTATCATATATTAAAAGATTCCAAAATCAATCAAAGATGTGTAATATTTTTTAAAATTTGCCAATTATTATAAAATCTTCATCAAAAATATTTTTCAAGTTGCAGCTCCTCTTACACGTTTGACATATAAAGATAAACTTGAATGAAGCAAAGAAGGTAAATCATCTTTTGAAGCCTTGAAGACAAAATTAATTTTTGCATCAATTTTGTATCATTTTAAATTTTTGGAGCATTCTTCATAGAAACATATGCATCACACTTTGCTGTAGATATTGTTTTGTCATAAATAAAAATAACTGATAAGCTCTATCTAATAGCTCTTCATTCCAAGAAATTTTTAGTATGCAAGATTAATTATGAAATCTACAACAAAGAACTTCTTACAATCATAGATTCATTTGAAGAATGGCATCATTATTTAGAAAGAGCTTTTAATTTATTCACTATGTATATGATTCACAAGAATCTAAAATACTTCATGTCAATACATCTTTTGAAACATTGCCAAGCTTATTGGAGCATGTCTTTATCATGATTTGATTTCAAGATCACTTATAGATTCAAAAAACAACAAGGTTTATTAAATGTCCTTTGTAGATGTTCTTATCTTGCACCAAAAAAACAGAGATGTAGCTTTTGATCAACAAAGAATGATTTTTGTGAAGACAGAGCATTTTCATCTTTGAGCAATAAAATCAACGTTAATTTGTGATTTAAGATTTTTTAAGCAAATTCAATGAAATATGTCATTTGGTCCTCTTATTTATAATATCAAAAATAATTATTTTAAGTCTTATGATACTTCCAAGTTTGAGTTCAAAAATAATCTATTCTATTTCAAGAAATAATTATATATTCTAAAAGACAAAGTATGATTATATGTTCTTCAAGCTTGTCATGATTTTCTAACAGCCACACATTTTGGATACAACTAAATTTTGGAGATAATATCTAGAGATTTTTAGTGGCCTCAAATATAGAAGATAGTCAAAGACTTGGTACAATTATGTGATATTTGTTTAACATCCAAAATTCCTAGTTATCAATCTTATGGACTTTTTTAGCCATTACCTATTCCAAAACAACTATGGTCTTTTGTTTCTATGGATTTCATTATAGACCTTCCTATATCAAGTTTGTATGATTGTATATTTGTGGTATTAGACCATTTTATCAAGATAGCATATTTTGTACTATGTACAAAATGAATCATAGGTGAAGAAATGGCTAAGTTTTTTCTTGACAACATCTATCACTATTATAGATTATCCAAAGATATTATATTACATAGAAGGATTCAATTTGTAACTAGATTTTAAAGAACTCTTTTCAAGATTTTAAAGATAGGTATAAAGCTCTCTTTGACTTTTTATCCTTAAACTAATGGACAAACCGAACAAGTAAATCAAGTTCTATAGCAATATTTGAGTTATACCATCAACTATGATGATTAGAAAAGTCTTTTGCCATTGATTGAATTTGCATATAATAATTTGATATATTCTTCTATTCAACAAATACCTTTGTTTGCCAATTATGGTTATCATATATGACTTAATACTTTTGATTTTTCAAAAGTTGATAATTCTATGGCAAAAGATTTCACAAATTGTTTATTAGAACTACATGCAACAATAAAGTCGTAATTAAAGAAAGTTTAAGAACAAAAAAAGATGAATGCAATTGCCTATTACAAGGAACAACCACAATTTAACTTAGGTGAGAAGGTATGGTTACTTTGTCACAATATCAAGACTATTTATCCTTATGACAAATTGAACTATCACAAGCTTGAAAATTTTCATATTTGTGTATAAATTAATCATGTTGCTTATTAATTATATCTATTGGTGTCTATGAAGATCCATCTTATATTCCATATGTCTCTTCTTAAACCATATAAGATAGTGAATATCTTGGAAAGAAGATAAATGCCACCTCTTCTTATAGAAGTGGATAATAATCAAGAGTTTGAAATAGAAGAAGTCTTAGATTTAAGGCAACACCAAAATAGATTAGAATATTTTATTTATTGGCATGGATATGATATTAGTGAATGCACATAAGATCCAATAAAGAATCTTATAAATGCAACAAAGAAAGCTGAGGCTTTTCATTGATAACATCCATCAAAATTAAGATAAAGAATATCAAATCTTTTTTATAAATGAAACAAGATCCAAGGAAGATAATATTCTATCTTTTACTCTTATTTATAATTTTTGTGTATTTGTGACGCTAAAGAGACAGAGAATCAACAACCATTAGATTCAACTCAAGAGCTTTTACTTGCTAACTTATCAAACAAGACATTGCAATTGTCACAATCTTCAAGATAATGTAATCAAGATAAAGATTTTAAACAACAACATGTCCTTCCTCAAATAGATGGCAAGATATAATGTGTTTGGTATCACAACCTTAGAAAAGAATTCCAATATTTGGTGATTTTATTAGAGGTAGGAACAACTCCTCATGGTATTCTAAATATTTTATTTGAAAGAAATTACGAAGACCTTAACAACGATCAAATAATAAGGTAATCTTCCCACTTTACTATGGTACAGTATCGATGGTTGAGAAGACTTATCAACCATCTTTAAAGAAAACTAAGATCAAAGTATGTGACAAACATAATTTGCTACATCTTAAATTTCTTCAACATATATTGATTATTCTTTTGAGAACTTGTCCCTAGAAGAGCGGATAATATCACAAACATACATATTTACTATAAAATTTATCTATATGATTAAGTAGAAGTAGATAAAAATAAATTTATTTCATAATATTTTTTAAAGAAACTTCTTAGAAGCTTTATAGACGTTATTTTGACTTTATATGTATTTGTAGTTGATTGATAGGTTAAAAACTTAGTCAATAAATTAACCACATTTTCAAAGCTTGTGGAACAAGCTAACTATGTGACATACATATAAAAAACTTGTGTTGCAAGTTAAGATATATGTCTTGCAAAATCAACACATTTTAGAGGTTCTATAGAACATTGCCATGTAGTTCTTAGTTAAGAGTATATATGGAGGCAAGAATGAAGCCTTTTTTTATTATTATCAATACTTTTTTAGTTCTTAGTTTTATTTTAAGACTTTCTAGTCTTCTTATCTTTGGCAATAATTATTTTAGTTTAATATTATATCATCTCTGAGTGATTATCTAATATTTTTGAGTGATAAAAGAGTGTTATGATCTTTTAGTTCTTTAAGATTCATGTTCTTAAAACCCCTCCAAGAAGCTTCTTCACTATAATTCCATTGTTGATCAAAATCAAGATACCTTGGCTACAATATGCTATTAGGAAAACTCACTATCTTACTAGGATTGGTGCCAACAACAATGATGATACTTTAATGGAATTTTAATCTTATTTACATATGTTTGTTTATAGATTTAAAACAAAATTTGCATAGATTTTAAAATGAATCTATTATTTCAAAATTCAAATCTATGGTCATTTATATAAGTTTAAACACAAATTTTTATTCTATTTTTAGATTTTTGAACTAAAACAAACTTATATCTCATAGTTTGTTTATTAGATTTTTAAAAATAATGACATTAAGGATTTTATTGCAAAATTCTTAAAAATTACAGCCTTTGAATGTTGTAGAATTTAGCTTTTAAAGTAAAATCTTTAAAAGATAAGTTTTATTTTGATTTTTTTGAATCTTTATATTTTATAATGTTATTATAAGAAACTTCTTTTATTTCTTGAACAATGCCATATTCAAAAAGATATCCTAATTAAATTTTAATATTTTTGGAATATAAATGAAATCTAATAACTTAAAAAAAATCAATCCATAAAAACCACAATGCTCCTATAATGTAAACCTCCAATAGTATCTTTTCAAGTATACACCAAATAGTTGTTCTACACACCTTCTTCGACATAAAACAACATTTTCAAAAAAAAAAAACCTATACTTGACATTTTGCAACCAAAGTATCATTCAAATGTCTCCATTGTACACACGACATGAAAGAAACTCTTTAAATAAAAGAGAGAGCTAGAGAGAAAGAGTTATATAAAAACAGTCAAACTAAAATCAAACCATAAAAATCTTTATTCTTTCAAACACCTTTGATTTCAAGATGCTAATCCTACCAATTCAATCTTGGAATACCCAATTGCCCACCAGACCTACGATCGATCACAACTGGAGGTGTTGCAAGTGTTAAAAATGTTCAAAAACCCTAAAACTCCTAACAAATGTGATGATCAGAGCCCACAAACCAACCTCACTTCCATGGGGCTCGTAGCCTATCAAACCTCAAAAGATTCCTATACAGTGTCATCAGAAGTGCAATTCTACAACTGCTAGTGTGAGTTTAGTGTTTAAGGTTACATGTGGATCATGTACTGTACATGAACAAAATTCCTATTACATGCGTCTGGAAATGCCCAGGTCATTCTTATCACGCAATTTGATAAGAATCAAGAGATTGCGAAATGCTTTACACAATCGTACATACATTTTGCAAAAGAATTGTCAGTAGAAAGGTGACAGTCCGGTGGTAGCAAACCTATCATGGAGGTTTCCTTCCACCGATCTGGCTCCTGGTCTCATTCTTGCTCTCTTGCTTGTCTGTTTGATTTTGGTGGCTCCGTTTCCGATGCCTGCTGTTGTGCATATTAGAATACTTGCTGCGGAGGATATGTCTGTCGTGGAGGATAATTGTTCTGCGGAGAGGATTTTTGCTGGGAGAGATAGGGTTGCTGTGGAGGATACATTTGATGCAGAGGGGAAGCCTGTTGAGGAGGATATGGTTGTTGCGGAGGGTAGAGGTGCTGGTTGTCTTTGAAATATGCACTCAGCTTTGCAGCAGCAGCAGCAGCTTCGTTATGTCCCGTGGAGTTGGCGGGATACACTGGATATGTTGCCTTTGGAGGGTAAGGCATATGTGGTGCAACCGAAGCTGTGCGCTCTGTTGTCTTCAGAACTGTTCCCACCTTCACAGCGAGATTCAAGACACCGCGAGGCTTTCCCAACCTCGTTTTAACCTGCAGAGTCGCATAGAAATTAAGTCAGTCGCTAATTCTTTAAGAGTCACAAACTCTGAGAACCTGACTATGCCATACGTTGCTAGCTAAAAGCTCCATGGAGAACTCGTCTACGCGATTGAAAACCATGGAAGGTGTGAATTTATTGTTAGTGCAGAATTGTCCATTTGGTATAAGAAATATTCCCAGAAAAGAAATCGCGAGTACCTGATACGACATGAGTGTCGACTCTGGAGAAGCATTCGAGTCCGCCGCTCTGCACTGTAAGCTTAGATCCGACAGTGGAACTGTCACTGTCCCTATAAGCTTGTTGGAGATCGATCCGCGGTTGCGAATTACTATCGTAATCTCCCCGCCACTACTCCAAATCACTGTGTCCTCACAAGAAAATCTCAAAACGCTGTTCCAGGATGGATTGATGCCGCCGCCTTCATCAACCACTGTCTGCACCTTATGGGACGGATAAACCCAAGCTACAGCATAAGGGTTCATCAAACGTCCGTAAAGTCTAACATTCTTCAAACCCTGTGCCGAGATTACCGTCACTTCAAGCTCTCGCTGTGCCATTGCAAATCACTCACCAGAATTTTTCCTTCCCGCTGCGCAACGAAGCCAATTCTAATAACTAACCACAGCAAACAAAACTGTGCAGGATTTTTCTCGTTCCAACTGCAAACTTATTCACAACAACCTGGAAGAAAACTCTTATACGTTTGAGTTGTCTACAAGCAAGCAAGCAAGCAAGCAAGCAGACACGGGCTTATTTGCAAATTATTTTACCGGCAATCGGTGTCGCGGTATTTGTATTATACACACAACGCTCAGATTTTCGTGTTGCCAGGAAACAGAAAGACACACGTTTTCAAGCTCTACACACAACGCTGGACCAGGATGTCTGCCAATTTAACGACTGGTGAAAAGTCTGCCAATCTAACTACTGGTGAAAAGTCTGCAAGTAGTACAATGGACATCCTATTCAAGATTGAAAGCCCTAGACTACGCATTACCAATTCTAACGGTTTGTAGGGCAGACTTGGGCCCGACATTCTCCTCTGGTGCTTCAATAGTCCTCCTAGCGTCTCCAATTCAGATTCACAACGATGCCAAATTTGCGTATACCTAGCAACCTTCTCACAAAGTTTACGATGCATACAGTTCCCAACTTACACTGTTGCATTGTGAGGGTCTTTCAGCTGCTTCCCGGCGCGGGTCAAGCCGATTTTGCCGACCGAAATGTCTCGTTGGTCTCTGATTGAGTCTTTCAGTTCAAGGATGGACATGTCTAAACGGTGGAGAATTACCTGCATGGTTTTCTAGGAGAACTTTTTTAACTTTGATACATAAGGCCTTTCGCGGCGTGTGTTCGGACGCAGATGTGAACTGTGAAGCTTGACTAATCTAGTTGGAGGTCAGGGAGGAATTCGTTCGGTTTTCGTGCATCTCTGTATAACTTACCACCATACAACGCAATGACGGCTAGGGTTTTTTTGTTTGTTTGTTTGTTTGTTTGTTTGTTTTTTTTTTTTTTCCATAGATTTTCAAATCTGCTAACAGTCTCGGTATCCAAGTTGAGCAACCTTTTTGCTGAAGGTTGGTCACTTGCAGGGAGCTAGACATCCATAGGGGGACGTTTGTTAACATTGACGTCATGTTTACACAGCCACCAAAACCATGTGACGAACGGCTAGCACCAAAAAAAGTCACTCATGTGCGATGTGTTACCATGAAGATACTGTGAAACAGTAGAAAGTGCAAGGAGGACACGTTTTCTTATGGGAAGCCTCATCCCTCGCATGTTGCAGAGATCATAATTTTTTTGTTACCAAGCTTCATTTCTCCATGTTGTACAACTGGAAGACACACGTTTTCAAGCTCTACAGCTTCAACGTTAGAGCATCTCCACTGCTGCTCTCCATATGACAGGTACACTGAACCCGCAACGAAGACGATAATACCAGTATGGTCGTGCCTGATATAGCTTGAACCGGAACTTTTCTCATGGATTCGGGGCTGACTGTACTTTGGGTACTTCCTCGGACTGATACATATCGCAATCCTCCGCATTGTTGTTCATCCACAAACCAGTAAGCAGTGTCATTATGGAGAAATTGATTACAGATCTTGAGTTTGTGATTCAGAATTATCCCAAAAGATCTAATTTTTTCCATCCAACTTTCCAGATCACTGAATTCATGCTGCTGAGGTGCGCTGAAGCACAGGACACAGGAGGGAGAAAATCTTTCTGAAGACTACCACAAAGATACCATCCAAAAAACACCCAAATCATGTGGTGGACAAAATAGGAGTCAGTTAATAAAGCTCAAACACAAACAAAAGCATTTCAAGTCACCTTTTATGCCACTTTAAAAATGCTCCAGTAGCCTATCTTGTATGTGCTCTTATGTACAGAGAAGAAAACTCAGAAAGAGCTCTGCACTAAGGATAACAGTGGTGTTGCAGTTCCTCCACTACCACCGAAACTTCTACAGATCACTATACATCACTATAGAGCTCTAAGAAACTCATGTACCATCACCCTCACGACATTTTGTCTCGCCGCATCTTTGTAAGAAGCGACCTCATAGATTCTGCATCAGTCGCTCTTGGCGCTTCCTGTGTTACAGATATCACTAAGTAAGAATAATTCACGGATTGCTAGGATGTAACCAAGTTCACAAATAATATATAAGAAACCTACATCCTCACACATGACTATACCTGAATGTAAGCTTCAAGGCAAGGTATCGCCTCTGAGAAACGGTTCAGCAGATACAAGCATATTCCATAGTCCCTGGTCTGCACCATACAGGAACAACACGCAGGTATAAGCAGAATTGAACGTGTTTCTAAAGAAAGGCACAAGATGGAGCCAGAAATTAATATCTTTTACTCAGGGTTGTAGACCATCTGGGCATACCTCCTCAATGACACCTGGCCGCACAATCTTCAGATAATCGATGATGCAGAGTGTACTACAAAAGCCAGATGACAACAAAAAGAATCAATACAGGAATAATCACAGGATAAAAGCAGCACATAACCCAGCCATCAAAACAGCTGCCAATCATTCGTGAGCAAAGCAAGTGGCCTAAGACAATCGGCTTCTTGAAATAAAGCAAGCTAAACTCAGCTTCCAATGAATTTACTCGAAGAATTAGTATTACCTGACAGGATCTTTCCGTTCAAAGTAGATCCGTTTCAGGTTGAATAATAGGCGAAGCAAGAAAGCTCGATTAGTGATGGATGTGTGCTTTAAAAATTCTGGGTTGATCTCAACTGGCACACCATACACTACAGATAACCTCTCTTCGGCATCCTGCAGGAAAGTGATCTGCCAGACAAACAGAAACCCTTAGGTTGTGCCGTCACTTCAAAAACTGATGCGACTAAACTAGACATCTGGATACACGAAATTGAATATATTGATCATTTCAAACACATCAGTATCAACACAGATAACGATGGCAAAGTAAGAAGCTGCCAAACAAATAGCAAGTTTCAAACTAACACCTACTTTGCCATTCGCGTGAGCATCAATGAAAAACTCTAATCCATCTCCAGTTGGACGGCACATAAAATGTGCGGGCAAGTTCACCTGTGATAAGTCCAGTAGAAATAAGCATTCTTAGTAAATTTGGACCAAGCAACTTAGTGCTATTTGTATACACTGAATATATAGAACAAACCTACTTAGTACTGGTGCTCATTCAAAAGTAAAACGCAAATCAAGATATTAGAAAGTAAACTTATTTCAAATATAAACTTGTTACTTTTGGATTCAATCACACCTCCCCTCTAATCAAAGCATGACTCTACCAGTCTACTCTTGAACTTCCTAAACACGATGCGACCTTCATGTGAAGACTGCACGAAGCCCTAGGGCTGGGCATTACCTAAAATAAAGGTCGAAGACTCCAGAACTCATATATTCAGCCAACTTCATCAAGACGATGAGTGAAAGGAAACTACATAGAGAAATAAAGTCAGGTACATACCCCTTGCATTGGCAAACCCACGCGCTTAGCAAGTTCCATATACAACAGTGACATTGTAAGAGGCAATCCTGCCATTCAATACACAGGCAAGTACCAGATTCAACCAACCCATCCTAACGAAGAATCATATGTGGAGCACATAGGCAATGAAAGAGGTCATGGAGTACAGATAGAAAAACTTTAAGAAAATCCAGACGTGTATCTCAAACAAAAAATTTAAATGGAGCCCATGCGAACGCTTTCAAGATTGTAATTTTAACTGCGTATAACAAATGCGTTTTCCAAGGGTTAGAATGAAAGCCATTCTACCGGGACCCAACACCACTTTATTACTAAACCGTTGTCATCTAAGTACCTGCCGGATAACTGGACTATCGAACCCTAATCACCTTTGGAGCAATTAGAGCAAAACTGACAGTGATTAGGTTGCTAGGCCTAAAGAATATTCATAAAAGCCGATTACAGGGCCATACCTTCTCGCCTCTTCAGCACCATGTTTATACATGAGTTGTCGGGATCAAGGTAGTTTGTCGCTCCCTTATAACCTAGTTGACCATAAAGATACCTATTGATGGAGTTGATCATTCGCATTGTGTATCGCTCTGAATGAAAAACAATGATGGTCAGAGGATGTGCCACTTGAACGTGCTTACAAATTTATTCTATTATCAAATTCCTTTACCACACCACAATAACCCTTTTCTCATTACACAATACAGTACATCATATCTATAGCTCCAACCTGTTTATGAAAGGTACAAAAACCAAAGCCACTGAACTAAATTATTGAAAAGTCCAGTATAAACAGTACAAACCAGCAGGTGGTGGTAGCAGGGGCTCAAGTTCATCAGCCATTTCCTTCATCTCGGCTTCCACTTCTTCGGCAGTGATTCTTGGGTACCTACGACCATAGCCACATATTAACAGCCCAGTCAAACACCAAAATGACAAAAAACACGTCCTGCTCCAAAGTACTATTAGCAGTATAAATCTAGACACTTGAAGAACTGATTCAAGCCTCCCGGCTCTCGAAGAGGAACATACTCTTGGTTAAACCTCACAAAACTAGGTGATGGTTACATGCAACATGATAACCTAAACAAATCCACAAGCAGTGAAAACGCCAACTTAGAGAACGATGGACTAAAGACACAAGCTTACTCTACGAAACACAATAGTAATTACGACTATAGCAAAAGAAGGCAAGTCGTAGAAGCCACATTATCAGCTTTTCTCGCCTGTTTCTGGTACACTGAAATCTACGCCATCGCATCATGTCAAACCCAGTTCACAGAAAGCTAAAGAACTAGTTTTCTTTTATTTTTTTATTTTTTATTTTTTATACAGTACTGTCACTCACTTCTTGAAACCGCATTGTAGGAAAATATCAACAAGAAACTTACAAGTGCTGGGCCACAAACACTGCTGCTCGGACTAAGCTGATCTCTTCATCTGGCTTTGCCACTTCTGCCCTGAAATTCTCCAGAGCCCTCATACGGCCCTACATTAAGTGCAGCACGCATAATTATAATCTATACGGTAACACATTCAGCTGACTTCGGCCAAAACGTTTTGAGGTTCAATACACTTCACAATGTTCATCAAGAAGCTGAGGAATAGCCTTTAAAGACGACAGAAAAGGAAGCATACCGTGTACAGGAATAACTCAGACTCCAGTGTCCCAACTTGAGCGGCTGAACGATCGGCTACTCGGTCAGATTTGGAACTTGGAGTAGCTCTGTTGGTCACCCCTTCATTAGGAATACGCGAGACCTCATATTTCTCTTCTCCTCCGGCGCCAGTCTCATTTTTATCACCACCCATCCCTTCCGAACTGCAGCAGCAATTTCGTGATCGTGGCCTCTTCGATCCCCATGGGGAACCACGTCGATGGATGCCACCAGAAGTCGAAGCAGGAGATGAGTTACCAAATGCAGAGGAATGAGTCGAACCAATTCTAGGTTGATCCCTGAACCAGTGTCCTTCTAAATTGTCAAACAACGACCTACTGCATCCGACATTCGTCGATGATGTCTTACTTCTCGCCGAGTGTCCATGAACATCTCTGACCTCTAATCGCTCGTGCCAGCCTATATCAGTATGCATGACCAACCTGCCACCAAGGCCGTGATTGAGCTCCACACCATGGGTGCAACTCTGCGCACAGCATGCATAATTCCCTACTTGGACAGCTTGTGTTGATGTGACCAGCAAGGACGACCTTGTAGTCACATTGCCTTGCTGCAGAAACGCAGATGAGACCCTTGTGTTGCACACGTTACTTTTGCTGCAGCAAGGACTTAACGAGACTGGCATAACCGAAAATTGACTGCGAGCTAAGTTCGCACATGCCGGTTCCATCGAATTCTGCCACGACAATGCAGACTCTCCACGAAACTGCAATATTGTATCAAACAAAAGTGGACACAAGACTTCTGTTAATTAATGGTCGTCTCTGTAACCAAATGTCCCTTCACACAAAAATGATAGACTAAAGCCAGAAAACTATGTGGAAGAAAGAAGCTTACCACCTAAATTCAGAATCAGATGTTACTCTCAATTCAAGCGGTTTTCTGCTAATCACACAGCTCCAGCAAGTTTCCGATTAATCACTCATTAACACTCGTGATAATTAACCAGCCATCATCAAACAAGAAACTGAAACGATGAACCCATCGTCAGGTCTCCAGAACAAGTCATCACTATGGCAGAGTCCTAAAACCGCAAAGAAACAGAGGAGTTCCTCTACCTTTGTAATGTCTATTTGTCCAACTATGACCAAGCTCTCATTCAAATACCACGAGTAAATCAACCAGAGTCAATGCAATAACGTGGTAACGAGATGGATAGCCCTCTCTCTCTAAACTCCTCGAAACAACTACCTTACAATGAATACGACCGCAGGACAGCGTTACTCAATTTAGCTCGATTCAGCTCTAATCCGCTAGAATCCGTGCGCCGCCCACCCTTGCTACCACAATAACTTCCTCCATCACCAAGACCGCTGCTCCCACCACCCCCGCAACAACACGCTCGCCTGCAGAAACCCAATCGCTTCATCATCTCTCATCTCCAGAAGTGCGCACTCACCAAAAACCGTTCAAATTCAACAACACTCCAAATATCTCTATTCAACATGAATTGACGACTCTGACGCCCACTTACTGCCACCCTCGGAAACCAAACCCCAGCTGCCCCACCCACCCACCCAATCAAGAAAAAAATAAATTAAATTAAATTTTAAAAAAATGAAAACCCAGAAACTGAAAACGAACACACTGCGATTGAAGGTACCCAACCGTATCCGAAGCAGCAACCCACCTCAGATTGTACAAGCCTGGACACTGTCGATGCTACGCAAATGCTTGCCGGGCACAGGGAGGGGAGCAGTGGGGGTGCACAGTGACAAGAGAGAAGAGGAGGCTCGTAAAGGCCGAGTTGGGGTGCGATAAAGTGGGGGCGAGTGAGCGAAAGAGAGGTGTAGCAAGTAGTACCGGTAGTGACACCAACACTGTCGTCGCGTGGAAAGAAGGAAGAAAGGAAAAATTCACTTCGTCCCGCAGGAGAGGGAGAGCGAGTTGAATCAACCAGCGTCTCTGTCTGTCTCTCTCTCTCTCTCGACCGAGTCTTGCGAGATATGATCTGCACACCACCACCACCACCACCACCACGACGAAGGCGAGGCCCACAATCACGACGACGGAGACGACGAAGACGAGGCGCACGACGACGAAGGCGAGGCGAGCGAGAACCCATGGACGAGGGAGGGGAGGCCTTATCTCGCATTGGTAATCCCGTCCCCCTCCTTCCTTTGCAGGGGGGTGGGGACGGGTGAGGACAGGCCCGCGGGTCCCCCCACCAGGGGTCTTCTAGGCCCCTCTATCCTGAACTTGTGACATGTGGCGGTGTCGCATTAGCGTTTCTGACTTTGTGAATGGGTTGTCACGGTGATACAGCCCAGTGTCCATTCGTTACGTCTCATTTTTCTTTCGTTGTGTATAACTTTTTCTTTACTTTTTCCGTGCGAGTATACTTTTCTTTTTATGTTCTTTACCGTATGTCTTTTTCTTTCTCTTCGATATTCTCTTGGAAATCATAGTTTTAGTCATTTGTGGATTAGGTTATTGGATTTAAGGTTTTTTAAAACTTGGAAGACATGTATATGTAACATGATAGAATTATGTTTGGTCCAATGAAATGACTAAAAATAATGCAAATTTTAGTAAAAATCTTGACTAAATGACTATGAATGTACATCCTTTCACAATGTATGAGGTATGTTGTTCTTTCACAATACACTTCTTTGAATACAATCAAGATTTTTTTAAATATTATTTTTATTAGTTGAATTTTATGTTAATATGATTAGAAAAATCATAAGAAATGTGGCAAATCAAAATGTAAAATAAAGTTCACTCCCTTATCAATTTGAGGGGTAAATATATTAGTATATGTATATATATATATATATATATATATATTACAAAAGAGAGAGTGAGAATTATTAACTCTTCATCCCCAATTGATGTTGCTATGCCCCACTTGACCTCTACACAACTTAAATTAACTAAAACACATCCTTCAACACTTAGGGCACTTTTAGCCAATCCAATATTGATCCAAAAGTAGAATAAATTAAAAAATTGATTTTTAAAGTTTTGGTAGCCAAATAAAAAAATAGAATTTTGAATTAAACGATTTTTGAGGTATATATATATATATATATATATATATATTATATGCCTCTTTTTTTTGCACTTTTTTTTCCCTTTCTTTGTTTTAAGAAAGATCGATGGTTAAGAGGGAGAAAATGAATATTTTATGGAAAAAAACTTTTGTGAGCTATTTAATATATATATATTTATATATATATATATATATATATATATATATAATAAAATATAAATTTGAAGCCTTGTACTAAGATGTTTTTTTGCTTTGTATTAAAAAGTATATATAACTATATATTTTCAAGTTGCTAACTATTTGTTCTAAGATCTTATTAATTTTTTGAAACAAAATATAAAAAACGTATTTGGAATTTATTATTATATATCTAATTGAATTGTAAATAACATTTAAAAATATGGTAGATATTAATCTTATTAATTTTTTGAAACAAAATATAAAAAACGTATTTGGAATTTATTATTATATATCTAATTGAATTGTAAATGACATTTTAAAATATTGTAGATATTGATAATTGCAATATTCCATAATACACAAATAATGCAAGATAAGTGTTTTTATTTTTATGTTTTTTAGCAAAGATAGAAAATAATCAAAATAATTTGTGTTTGTGTATTTGATATTTTTTTGTTTTTTCCAATAATTTTATAATTATTGATATTTTTATATTTGGTTAAATTTAGTAAAGTCAAAATACAATTTATTTATGAATGTTTCTATTCTTTTTCTTTTTAAAATTTTATGTGGCCAAATATTTGAACAAATTAAGCGTAAATAATTAAGTGTTATCACTATATTTTTTTGTTTGTTTTTTTACTATTTTATGTTAGGAAATAAAACTATGAGATTTTGTTGAGTAATCAACATTTGGTCTTGAAATTAAATAGTGTTACAGTGCATTCTTGGAAGTGCACATACCAATTGGCTAGAAACCAACATTTATTAGTATTCACTTGTCCATAAATACTTTTCACAAAGTTGACTAGAAAACTCATGTACCCATTGACCACCACTAGTCACACTATTTCCATACACATACTTCTAAAAATACAATTGTTCAGATTTTTTTGTTTTGTTTTGTTTTGTTTTTTTAATTTTTTTTTTTTTTTCCCTGTTTCTAGGTAAGGCCATACATACATACAGGAATCTTTACACAAAAAACAAAACCCTAAGAGTGAAAGCATCAAATCCTTGCAACTGATTGTATTGTCTCTCAGACCTGAAGCATTCTCCAGCTCTTCTAACTCTGCAGTCCACTTCTAAAATACCATAGTCCGGTAATTGTGATGAAACCACATTTCTACAGATATATCTGTGATAGTGGGGAAACCTAAACTGAATCCTGAGGAAAAGCCAAACAAGGTCCTGCAGGAACCAACTCATAACAGGAGAAAAAAGGAGTGGGCCTGGTGAAAGCAGAGAGTGGGTGCAAGATTGGTTGCAAAATCAGGGTTTTGCTACTTAATCAAACAGGTGCGCCACAGTTGATAGAATCTGAGAGGTGGCAGTTCTGGGTCGGTTGTAGCAGTTCCGTCTCACCCACCCGATCTGTTCTCGCATGTTGTCATACACAACAAGATATCCCCGCATGGAAATGTCTCCAAGGATGTTTGTAACCTCCAGGCTTGCAACACTTGCATCCAGAACACCAAGACAAACATTACCTTGCGTGGAGACAATGAGATAGCCCTCTGGGGAGAGCTCAAGCAGCTTGCCTGATGACCACCAGGTGCTTCCACCGAAGTCCAGGGTCACCGTTTTGAAGTATGCACTAACATCTGCAACAGATTCAAACGGAGAGGGACCACGCCAGCAAAAGGGCAAGGTGGTGTCGGTTTTTATCCTCTCAAGGCCGCTCCTCTGTGCCTGTCTTACCACAGCAGAAAGAACAGCAGTGTAGGCATTTGGGACGAGGTATGTGAAAGAAGTTCCACTGTCAAACATCGCCCCACCCACATCATCTGTCGTGCCCTCAAGCTCGAGAACTTCCCCTCCATATTTGATGCTGCGGAGCCGTGCTTGGTAGCCTTCCACCAAAGGCCTTCCGATCATCGGGGTCCATGTCATGCCCAGAGCGGGTACTAATGTATCTCCGAAGAAGAGATAGCCACCGCCGTTGCTGCCACCAGCTAGACAGTGGCCTATGACATTATTTGCAATGCCTTTCGCGGCTAGCTGCGAGGGTAGGGAGATTTTGGAGCTGCTCAAACCAATTACGCCATCCGTCACTGCGGGTGCTTTTGCTAACGTCCCTTGTTGATCATACCCACAACCAATGACAGCCCTGGTTTGGAATCGAGTACCGTTGGTGAGAACAAGGGTGATTGTGTCTTCCACCAAGATTCCCATTGTGGAGCTTCCATCTACATAATCCACCTCGTAATCGCATTGCCGGACGTCTCCAGAGCATGTAAATTGACCTCCTCGTTGCACTTGAGCGCACGTTGGACGCCGGCAATCGACTACCCTAGCTCTCTTGGGATCATATAGCCCGTGCGGTCCCACGGCACAGCTCCTGCAGGGAGCATCGCATTGCAGCCATGTGAGGTCGCTACCTGTGTCCATATCCAGATAGTAAAGCTTCGCCGGATTGCCGATGCGCATTGCCATGTAGTACAGTCCATCAGGGTAAATGTTTCCTCCAATTGGATAGGCAGCAGTTCGTTGAGCAGTTTCAGGAACAGAAGCCTTGCTAAGCCTCTCCATATCGCGCTCCAGTAGATTCCTTCCAACTAGACGCATCTTGATAAGGGCCGGGGAGTACTTAGGGTGCAAAGTATAAACATGAACGTCCTTCTCCTCGCTTTCTTCCTCCAGTTGCATCTCTGAGTAGTACAGGGTTGGAATTTTGTATGCTAGGTAAAGAGCAGCCAAGGAAAGTAAGAAGAACAGCACCACGCGTTTGAATAATCTACCCCTTTTGTAAAGGGTTCGTGCTGGATGTGCGGCTGGAGGTGTCGGCAATGGTGGGGTTTGTAAAGTTTGTTGTTCCTGCTGTTGGTGACCTTGAACTTGCTGTTGCTGGTGGTGTTGCTCGTGTCCTTCTTGCCACATTGCGGCGCACATTGTTTTACCCCCACTCTCAGAGTCTGGGAGTGAAATTATGACGACTCCCCGCATCTGTTGAGGTGCTGTCATGGCCACACTCTTTTCGTATGGCTTGGCCATGACTACAGGTCTTCTCTGCTCGTCTCTGCTGATATGAATGGTGGCTACTTGGTGTCCTGTTGCCCTTTTAACCAAACCGTTCCTTTCCGCAACAAAACAATAGGCTTCCCTCCACAACACCTAGAGGTAATCGTTTTGCAATCTGGACAATTTGTTTACAATCGCTCATCGCTCCATCACACCAGCTGCGCCTGCTGATTTCGGCCTTTGGCTACTCACAACTTCAGCAGAGTCCACAAAACTATTCCCCTCAAATGCGACATTACCTGCTAAAAGAGTGATTGAACAACTTATCAGCATGAAACACCCATTTGAGCTAGCCAAGGGAGTGAGAGCGAGGAAGGAAAGAACCAATCAAAGCATTGAATTGCAGATCGAATTAAGGCTCTTCCTTGGTACCACATCAACACACATAAAGAAATCGATCACGATGAGGGAGCGCTTGCACTGATCATTCAACGCCACCCTTGTACCACAAATGCAGATTTGAACCCTATCAATAAAACATTTAAAGGTCGAGTATCATCGCACGCTTATAGACACTAGAATTACCGGCATAGTGTCGGATGTCATCAAAGAAGTCAGATGCTACATCACAGTATTACTCATTCAACGTCTTCGCACTTTTGACGAAGCTGTTCAATCTGATACACCCCAAAATTTACCAACAATTTTAGCAGCTTTTCAAGTTAAGTTATCAGCAAACAAGAAAAAGGATGCATAAGATTTGTAAGGCACGTTTTCCTCAAATTCAAACCGAGATTACAGAGGCACTGCTACGAGTAACCATCCACAAATTCTCTGAGAATAGCTTCTTGCGGTAGCCACATCCTCCGTGTAAGTGTTAGGTGCTGAATTGAACACGAACTTTACGCTTAGACTTAGAGATTCTGCTGAGACCTACCCTCTTAAGTGCGCACGCCACTAAACGAGAACCCATAAACGCTGTCAGTGATTACAAAGCACCCAAGGAACCCACAAACCTGATGTTCCATACTCGAGAAGGCTGAGCCTGGATTCCATCCTCCCATGCCATACAGCCCTCGCAGCTTCTCAAAATCTCAAAGCTCCGAAAAACTTCTCTTGAGAGAAGTCGCAAACCCTTGCCAAGTCTCATCATCCAGACGAACTTCTTCCATGTGGGCTTTCCAGTCAATTGCCCAGCTACAGTAGTTCAAGTCTTCTCCTGCGGACTATCCTTCGTCTACCAAATTTTTATTCCAATTCCTGGCAACTTGCTGTAAACAGTTAATCTATTCGTGTTCTATTCATCTTCGAGCCCCTTCAGGAACTACACCAGCCGAGCTTCCACATTCGGGTACACTCCAAATCAAGCTAAAACAAACAAAAACAATAAAAACAAAAATAAACAAAATCAAATACACAACAACCAGGCAAAAATACTATTCGAAATAGGTTTAATGTAATAGAAACAGAATATTCAGTTTGACAATTCGTCCCTACGACCACCGTGCCCTCGGGACCAGCACTCGAGTGGTGATTGAACGAAGCTTCACAAGGGTCGGACACTGTAAATAATTGGCATTATGCGGAATGGCACGACGTGGTGAGCGTCCTTGGTGTAAATTTGGAGAGAAGCGCCGGTAACGCGTAGGCGGGGACGAAGGATGGATGACATCCACTATCGAGGCTGCTGGCTGGTATGAAAGCTTTGATTGCAGTCACGGAAGCCCATCCAGTCAAGATAGAAACCATATTCATCTACACCTCGCCTTCCGTTCCAGCTTCATGTCCTCTCCCCGCAGACAAATCTGAATACCCTGCTAGACGAATGTTGACACGAATCCGTCGCAATCACCATAATCCATGTTACAAGTGCATGAACTACGTGGATTCCTGGGGAATTGCGTGCGGCATATGCTGGGTTGTGATATAAGATGGTAGCTAGTAACTGCGACGCGGGTTGCCGTCTTGTGGCCATTTTCGAGCTCTGTCTTGCCTTACCTGGGAGAAGTTTTTCTGTGGGATTCGCGGTGAATGGTAGGATTCAATGCAGAACTGTAAGTGGAGAAGGAAGGATTCGAGCTTTTGGAGTGTGAATTTTGAGAATGTGTTGTGAGCCTGTGGGTAGTGAGGGGTCGCTCCAGGGTGCTTGAGCACGGAGAGGGTTTGCTGTGGAGGAATTGGGTTACTGTTGGTGTGGGTTCGAGTTTTAGGTTTTGTGGCGGTTTAGATGGATGAGAAGAGGGAAGAGGAGCGGGTGGTGACCATGATTGTGAGTGGGGAGTCGAAGACGGGACCAACGCATGGTCGTATTTGCAACCCATGGCGACTCGGAGAATCAGATGCGCGGTCTCGTGAACCAATAGTGGAGCAGAGCTTCATGAGCAGCAGAGTGAGGGATATGACGTCCGCACCGATTGTTGTTGATGACGAGGACGATGATGTTGTTGTATCATCACCAAGGGCTTTTGCTCAGGTATTTTGGCCATTTTGGCTGCTTCTACGCATTTTTAGTTTTCATAGTTTTCATAGTTTTCATAGTTTTCGTGTGCTGAGGTGATGATCTACACCTTCAATACGTTAGAGGTGGTGGATCAGTGTGTTTTTTTCTGTCCAATTTGCGGTTGAAAACACAACTCATTCTTCGTTTGCATTTGCACTCTGTAATTGTATCTTTCTATTGTTCAATTCTAGTTCATCATCGTCCTTAAGAGGAGATACTTGGTGACCGCCTTTGCCATAGAATCTGATTCAAGCATATGAGTTTGTGGCGGCGTGTTGGGTGCCTTTGCTGGGTGATTGTAATACTTTCTTGCTGTCGTCTAGAATTCTAGACCTTTTGCTTATTCTTAGTTATTTGCATTGGACCCCACGTCGCAGCATGTGTTCATTTCCTTGTGCACCCTGACCCGTTTATTGGTTTTGAAAGCTTTCCAGCGTGGTTGTACCCTAAGTATTCAAACAACGTCGTATGCTTACTCAAAAACTATGAATGTCTGTTTTAAAATCTGTCTGGCTGGTTCTTAAATTTCAGACTCTGAGATTTTAGTTAGGCTCCACTTAGCAGACAGACAATCGGATGAAAGGTTGTTAATATCAGTGGGCCTGTTGCGGCTCTGATATATTCACTCTGATGACTGTAATGTCTCTTGTTCTTATTGCCTCTGTACTGTTTAAGTGATAGTGATGTGCTTATATCTGCAGGCTAAATTGATTGCGAGCATAGAATCTCGCCGCTCCTCACGACATCAAGTACTCGTGGAAGAGGATCCTTTGGCATTGCGTCTTGGCCCTGGAGGTAAATGTTACTTTTTTCTTATTGCTACATGATTTGCTTGCTGGTGCCAATGGCATGTACTTGCCGGCACGTTAGATTACATGTAATCTATTTTGTCCGGAATAGTGAAATCTAAATGCGACATCGTTGAACAACTTGCGCAGGGACATCGCAGTATAGCGTTCGGACACAGTCAAGTATCACTCAGCCTCTCCGTGGTCGGCGGGGGCGACCAGCCAGGGCAACAATAGATCTCACGATTCCGTCAAGATCACCTCCAGTAATTCCATTGGTTGAGGACTGCGTGCTTCTTAACGACAATCTTCCTAAGGTATTAAGATTTATTTCTCTTGGTTTAGAGGATTATCACATCATCAATTTTGTTTGTTATTTTATAATTTCATAATAAAAAACTTTAAATGTAAAATTATTAAAAGCCTCATTGACGGAGCCTTATTGTTGGTTGAGGATCGATCGCCTTATCATGTCTTTATCGAGTTTGTTATGTTGCATTTGGAACATGAATGCTAGATCTGTATTTGGCAACTTTGTTGGGTTTGAATATATCACGCCTTTTGCATATTGTGTTAGACCTTTCGTGTATGCGACTCGTCTTCCGTAGTTCATAAACATTTAGATCTGACACAAATTTTCTTTTGTTTTACAGAGTAGAAAACGAAAAAATGTTCTCATCGAACAATCTTTCATGCAAGAGCTTGCTCCAACCATACAAGCCAACGAGCCAGAGGGGCGTAAATTCAAGTGTGCCATTTGCATGGACACAATGAAGGAAGAGACGTCCACCATTTGTGGTCATATCTTTTGTCAATCTTGTATTCAAGGGGCGATCAATGCACAGAAGAGGTGTCCAACTTGTCGGAGGAAGCTGACCATGAAAAACGTCCATCGGATATATATTTAGATTTCATGCAGAATTAGCAAGTTTCACAGATTATCAGAATTTAGTCATTATTACAACTTAGCGTTTCCGAGTGAATATGCTGGATATCTTAAGCAATCCATCCAGATGTAAGGGATTTAGTGAGGTAATGGAAGATTTTAATCATTAGATGCAAGGCCAAAATTTTTTGGGACCCATTAGAAGGTGTTGAAAATGTGCAGAGAAGCTCATGGCTGTGCACAACCGCTTGCCTTGGTTGCTCTCTTTGGGAACACTGGAGTTGAAACACTTGTTGTACATTGAACATTCGCTTTGTACTCGAAACTCATGTTACTTTACATAACTAAGTCATTTATGTTTGGTTTTCATGGGACATATTTTGGGATGCACTTTCGGTACCGAAAGTACGGTGTAGGCGAGGTTGGTCAATGGGATTGTGGTGCCCATAGTCAAGGAAGCTTTTGCAGAAGTTGGTTGAGCAACGTGGATTACACCAGAAAATTGTTGCTACGCAAGGTCACACCAAACTTGATTACATCGTTGCATTATGGACTGCAAAAGAAATACATTGCAAAATACTTCTTCTGTGTTGGTCCTAAAAATTCTCATTGCTTTGAGGTTGTGCGGAGATAGGAAAGTATGCCAGACAGGACTATTCAAAAGAGGAATAGTGAGTGATGTGCTACAAACCGTAATGAAATATTTTTAGTTGCAGAGGAATGTAATGAGACTAACATCTCGTATGGGCTATTGCAGAACTATTAGAATACGAACCGTAATAACGGTGAACCCGTACAAAAGTCATGACATCTTGCAGCATTAGAGACAGAAATTGATTCAGATTTGAACATGAAGTGCACTGAATAGCATGCGGTGAACCGCTTACAGTAAATCTTCAACCAGCAATTTTCGTTCAAAAACCAGTGAATTGCTGGATTTCCGGCAAATCAGCTTGCGGCATATGAATGAAGCCTACCTAACAACGAGACCCATCAGCTGCATCGTAATCAGTGGATCAGTGAATCCTGTACCAATCCAAATTTCTGCGCATTGAACACAGCCCCACCTATTATTGGTGAAAATGTGTTAGCTGAGAAGCGCGCGTCAACCAGTGCAAACGACCAAGTATAATGAATTACAAGTACAAGGGTAAATGAGTCTCAAGCTTTGGTCATTGAGAGACCAGCACAGCTTCCTTCTCACCGCCCGCTTTCAGTTTTCCTGCCTTGAAATCCTGTGATAAAAGTCAACCACTCAAGATCATCACTAGGAAAATGCATGACCAAAAGCACAAAATTTACAGAGCAGGTTTGGAGCTCACACTGTCCACAAAGTAAATACTAAACGATCTCAAGGAATATATCGAACAGGTATACTACAATTGCCAAATGGAAGACTGTGCTCGAAGTCACAATGAAGGCCGTTTTGGGTAGAACATGATCAAGCGCGTTACAAGCAGTCACGAGTGAAATCTTCCCATTCAGTTGACCTGCAGTGTCATACCTGTACAATGGATTGGGCACAAAATTTGCCAGAGAGCACAGCCCCTTCCATAGAAGCGAGGTACTTCTGCTTAGTGAAGTCACCCGCCATGTAGAACTTTGGAATAGGTGATCTTTGAAGTGGCCTACAAGGCTCACAATCTGGCACCGTCTTGTAAACCGACCTGAAAGATGCAGCGGTCAGAAAAGGGCTTACTCGTGAATTCATAAAACTACTGGTGCTTGCGAAAAATCAAACACACGGCAAAATTAAAAGAAATTTAGCATAGTGCAGATGAGCCCACAGTAGGGTGTAAAGTTCTTAGTACCTTGGAGTTTTCACCACGTGGTACTTGAGAATCTTGGCTTTACTTTGGTCAGCTGCAATTTCATTGGGGAACAATTTGGCTAGCTCTTCCATTGTTGCATCGACAATCTCCTGGTCACTTTTGCTGATCCATTTGTCGGCAGGGGCGAACACAAGCTCCAACATGGATTTGTCTGGGTCGTAGTACTCCTGGTCAAAATAGAGTGTACACATATGAGTACAGAGAATGTAGATTACACCCCGGCTGTTAGTGTGCAGGTTTGACAATTTTTCTCTACAATGGAAGACCCATTCGGATTCAAACCTGGAAGTCACTCTCAATGAAGTAGTCATTCGTAAGTAAGACCAGTATCCACCTCACAACTGAAAAAATCAATCTTATTTTTGATAGACCAGATTGGACAGGATCACAATTTGGTGAAAGTACAGTAGATTATTCTATTTAATAATCTCACCTTACACGTAGTGGACATATCGGCGTACACACTCAAGAGTGGACTCCTGCTAAATAGCAAGTGATCATACGTAGCTTTCAACTTCCGGTCAAACCTATACATTCAGGAGCAAATAATTCAAGTCGCTTGTAGAATAGTGCAATACTTAACTACATCATCAAACTTGAGCAATACCGCTAAACTTAGCTGGTCTAAACTACAAAAATGATACAAAGCAAAAAAGTGCATCTTACCATATATGAACATTAATGACAGGCACGCCAACAAGTTTGTCCATTTTCTTGAAGTAGGGTATCGGTTTCCACTGGTTAGGTATAATGAGCTTCACAATATCCACTGGAACAATAAGAAGAGCGTCAGCAATAATCAATCACTAAATATGATAAGTAACACAGCTTAAAAGTACACCAGTACCAAAACATTCGGCCACGCTGTCTCCAGTATCTATTCCAAACAGGTCTGTTGCTAATCTTTAATAACAGAAGCTGCAATAGTTGCTGCACACTGTAAATGAAATTAGTGGAGGGAGGAGAGGGAGTAGGGGGAGTGACAGAGAGAAAGAAAGAGAGACAGTGCAAGATCAGAATGGAGATGGAGGTATTCGATTTAACACCAACGTTCACAACTTAAAACATCTGACTTATTATGAACTCTAGATCTGCCCTGTTCGGAGCACACCCACTTAGTCACGATGCTTCAGTAACCGGAAGTACCTGGCATCGCAGATACATACACATCCCCTTCCACTGTAGTCCCGTCTGAAAGTAAGTAATGTTTCACAGTATTATCCTCGTTTAGTACAATCTCCTTCAACCGGGCATTGAGACGAACTTCACCACCAAGTGCGCTGAAGTGTTCCACAATTGGTTTGCACAGGCGCTCTGGTGGAGCTCCATCAAGGAATGCCATTTTGGACCCATGCGTTTCCTGGAGGAAACGGTTAAGTGCAATCAACACACATTGCATAGAGAGGTCATCGGGGTCGATAAAGTTCAGTGCCTTGGACATAGCGATGAAAACTTCGTCGTTAACACGCTCCGGCACACCCTGCACAGACAGAGGGGAACCAGAAACGTTCAGAAGTGTTCGATGCGATGCAATTCGCCGACGAACACTAGTGTTTTGGAAAACGATGGGACAAACTAAAATCCAATCGTCTTCTCTGTTTCAGCCTCAGCTTCTTTGTACTTGATTGTTACACAGCGAACTTAAGAGTTTCAAAACAACATCCTTTCGCGTAGTTTCACTGCTTCAATTATATTCCCTGACAAAAGTATTCTGATCACAAGTCTACTAAGAGCGACAGAAAGAAAGAGATCAGAGGCCGTAGATCACCTGTTTGAGCATCCACTCACGAACGGTGAGACTGTCTTGAGCTTCAACGTAGGACTGACCTCCGACAATGGCAGGTAAAAGACCGATAGCAAAGCGAACCTTTTCAGGAAACGTAAGCATCTCGTTGTTTTTCAAAATTGCCCATATACCTGAAACATGCCACATTGCTTACATTATTCAAAACACTAATATCTGAGCCAATTTTTGGGACCCTGCACATAAAACAAAGTCAAACTTCTAGTGCGCAGACGGGGTCTCGAAATCTACAAAAGATGGACACTTACCATTGAGAGGTGCAGGGATTTCTGGGAAATCAAAGCGGCTGAACTCTCCAGGTTTGTTGGGCATTGCAAAGATCATGCTGTGCTCCTTCCACTGAAGACGGTCATTGATACCTAGTTCACCGAACAAATTCTGCATGTTCGGATACGCCCCAACTGCACATAACATACCTTCTGTGTCAGTGTTATAAGACAATAGAGACAAAAGGCCTGTAAAAATTTGAAGAAAGCAAGGTGAAATTGACTTGTGCAAATACGTACAGAGACGTCACTGTACTGCTCGCTTGAAGTAAGACTGTTTAGTAAGACTATTCTTAGTAAGACCGTTTTTATTAAGACTTTTTTAGTAAGACTGTTAGAGGAGTAAGTAAAGAGTCATTTAACTTAAGAGCTGATAATCCAGCAAATATGCAAGCAGAATTGAAGAAGGGCGCGTAAAGCTCTTACAAAAGATGTGCAAACCAGTCTCGTACCAATCCCCATCCTTGTCCTTCCATGCCGCAACCTACATTTCAGAAAAATCACTTAGAGCCAGTATTATTGACTAGTCTAGTTATAGTTAGCGTAATATTCGTCCTCTGTTCGGCTGAGGCAGAATGGCACATTAACCCAAAAGTTCACAATTATCACCTTTCCTCCGAGCACATCTCTGGCCTCCAGCAGAATCGGAATGTGGCCAGCATCGGCAATGTACTTAGCGGTGCTAAGTCCAGCCAAACCTGTTCATATCGAATCAGAATGCAAAATTTAAGAAAGTGAAGGACTGTAAACAAGAACGCGCACCAGCCCAACAAAGAAGAAGAGACCATAATCCAAGAGTAAGGAAACATAATTCAAAACACCTCCATCCTAAAATCCGTCCGAGGAGAACTGACAGTGAAGCAACCCACCAGCTCCGGCAATGACAACCCTGAGAGGTTTCTCGGGGCGTGGGGAGTCGCGCATGTAAGCCGAGAGCGCGGCAGCCTCCAAGAACCCAGTGGTGTTATCAATATCCGGTCGAGGATAATCGACAGCGACCACCTTCAAGGGCTGGTAACTAGACTGCGCAACGCGGGAGGGAGCTGTGGAGAGAGAGGTGGTAGCAATTCTCACATGCCGCAACCCACTGAAGCTCACATCACGGGGCTTGGAAGTCAATGAAGTGGCAACCGCAAGGCCCGTCGTCATGGCCGCCATGGCCTTAGACCCAAAACCCAACAAATCAACCACCAACGCAAGCGAAACGAAACAAAAGAAACTCAAATTGGCCGACGACCTACAAATCTACACCACCACCCTGGACTTCTCACTAAGAAGAAACAGAGCGGGGTAGAGTTGGGGCCTCAGGATGGGGTCCAACAGCACCAAGCGCGGCGAGCAAGGCAATTGAGCGAGCGGATTGAAGGTGAATGAAAAGCACATAAAAGCGAGAGAGGATGATAATAAAAGCGCAGATAGAGTAAGGGGGGGACAGTTAGTTGATGATCGAGTGACAGAGAGGGTGGTGGGAATGGCTACCCCTCCATGGGTGGTCACGAGGAAACGTGGAGCGCGGCTGCTCCTTCAACCGAACGGCAATGCCAACCAACAGCCTGTGACGGTGAAACAACCGCATCAGCAGGTCCAGCAGCAGCAACAGCAGCCTGGAGCAGCCTGGAGCTGGCGCTGGTGTGGATGATGCTACCCGGAGAGACGAGAGAGAGACGTCGTCACGGTGGTTGGTACCGTCCGTCCGGGCGTTGCGATGCTTTTCCACGCAATCCGAGCTCCTCCTCCTCTTCCTCCTACTGGTCCTCCTCGTCCTCGTCCTCGTGCTGCGGGACCCTCCTCATCGTGGTTGCTGTGGCCGGGAATCAAAGCACCCACGACGACTCAGGCCGAGGATCCTGCGAAATCGGGGCCACAAAAAGCATCGTCTTCGTCGTCGTCATCACAAATCCCGATTCATGCAAACGGAATCAATCCCCCGTTCGCGCCTCCCCTTTCATTCCGCCGATGAACCTCATTCTCTCACCCTCACACAGATTCCTCACCTAGTGTTGTGGGTTGTGTTGTTTTGTGTGTGTGTGTGTGTATTTCTGTTTGATTCTGTGCAAGTTTGTGTGTAAATTATGCAATCCGGTATCCCCGAAAACGTGCCACAAAACCATGTCCATGCGAAGAAGAAGAGTAAGAAGAAGACTCGACCCCACTATTATTCCTCATCTCGTTATAGCATTTTGCTTCTGTCATCGTTGTTTTATTTATTTTTCTTTTATTATTGATTTGTGTGACTCTTTCAAGAAGGCTTTGTGCGACATTTTTGTTCGATTTTTTTGGTTTTGAGTGTTTGGTTTTTACTAGGATTTTGTGCTATTTTTCTGAGTGTTTATCTCTTTTTGTCATTGTTTGGTGTTTTGTGGAATAGAATGTTGTTTCATTGTGTAGTTTGTGTTTTACTTTTTATTATTATTTTTTATTATAAAAGAATGACCTCTTTGTTTAGTTTATATGTTTGATGTGATTTTATATTGATTTAATAATGAGTTCTTAAATTTTGTAGATCTAATTTGTTTATGTGATGAATTAGTATTGGATGATATCAAATAATCTGTAGTAGTAAGTTTTAGTGTTGTTAAATATGTGTTTGTTGTGTGCAATATATATGAGATATTTGAAATTGTAGAGAATGTTAATATTTTTGAATATACATCATATTTATAGGTTTTTGAAACATAAGTTAAGATACAAATTGAAACATTGTAAATAGTTGTGACTAAAAATCTCTGTTGGCTACTTGTTTAGTTTGGTGTGTCATAATATTTGAAGATTCAGTAACAATTGTTTCTTAGAATTGTATCTATAAAATACACAAACATATCTTGTTAAAGATATCTACATCTAATTAATTTTTATAACATTACATTACAAATTGTTTCTTTTTTTTGATACATTTTTCTATTTCATGTAAATCTTGTATCTGTATAACATAGCCTATTTGAGGTGATTATAATATAGAATTTTAGCCACAATGTGCTTTATATTAACAAAAACCATAAAATTAAAAAAATCAGGAAAAAAAAAAAGTTATCCAAAACATAATGTATACATTTAAAAATATAAAAGTATCATCTTGTAATTTTGTAAAAATTCTAGTATTGACAAAGATATTTTTGATTGTTCAACACGAATGCAATATTTAGTATATCTAAAAGGCATATTAAAAAGTTAACCAACTTTGTTGCCATATGAAATTTATTTAAAAGATTGTGATGAAAGCTTAAACAATCTTTGTCTTTAATTTTAGATCTTGTATTATTTATTATTGAAATGGAAATGGTACCAAATATTTTTTGATCTCCTATAATTAATATAAATTATATAATAATTTAATTTAATTTTAAAATAACCACATATTTTTTATTTATAATTAATCTTAAAACATGTAGTTATGAGTAAGTGGTGTTTTTATTAAATTATATATATATTTTCAAGTTATTATTATTATTAATATTCAATTTTTTTTTATTATTGAACTATGTTTAAAAATATTTTAAAGATCTTAAAATTTATTTATTATATATTCTATATATATATATATATAGAATATATATATATATATATATAAAACATTGACATAGATATTAAAATCTTATGTTTAAAGGATGTTTTTTTTATATATAACTTAACTGTGATTTTGGATTTATTTTAGATAAATATCAAATATTATATTATTAGCTAATAATTTTAAATTTATTCTTTTATAATAATCTTCTTTAGTTATTTTAATATAATAAGATTTAATTAAGTATTATTTTAAATTCTTTTGGATTAATCCATCTTATAAATAATATGATAATTAATTAATAATGATTTACAAAAATTATCTTTATATTAATTATTTCATAAAATAATAAATTCTTAAATTTATTTTAAAGAGTTTTTTTGATAAAATTATAAAAAATATTAATATATATATCTATCTAAATATAATATAATTTCAATATTAATAATAAAAAATTTGAAGTTTATTAATTTTTTTCATTTAAATACAAATATTCTTCTATATATATATAAATATTAATATATATCTATAAATATTAATATATATTTATTATATAAAATAATTTGAATATAAGATAAAAAAATAAGAACATATTTTTATTGGCTATTAAAAAGAGAATGTGAAAAATTCAAAGAATACAAAGTTGTTAGGAATATGAGTATTCAAAGAATTGAGTATTTAAAAAATTGAGTAATTGAAACAGTGAGGATTTGCAATAAAAGCTTCTTTATCAACCACAGTAGTGGCTTAAGAGCTACATGTTGTACTAAGTTGTAAGTCAAAATACATCATTCCTTCTTTTTTGCAAGATTTGAAGCTATCAAAGGATTGTGTTAAGAATATGCAAGATTGAATCAGCTAAGAAACTTCATTTTTATCTTCTTTAAAAAATAATTTATTTTAAGATAAACTCACTCACTATTATTTGTACTCAATCTCATAATCAATGTGACTTCAATTCCTTTCTTATTAGTCTTAATCTTTCTAATCGTCATATTTGATATCAATACTTATATGTATAAACATGCGGACAATCAAGATAATATGGCCTAATGTTGTAGCTCATCATAAGGAATCTATTGTAAACATCATGACAAAATGCCAAGGATATGAACTTCAAAAAATTAAAAGGTCAATATATTCTTATATTACTTAAAAAAACTAAGAAATCACTCAAAGATGGTAATATATTAAACTAGAATGACTATTGCCAAAGATAAGAAAACTAAAAAGTCTTAAAATAAGACTAAGATCAATGAATAAGATGTTCACAAGAGTAAAAAAGGCTTTGCTCTTACTTCTATATATATTCTCTAACTAAAAGCTATGTGACAATATTCTATAAGACCTCCAACATGTATTGACTTTGCTAGATATATGTCTTAATTTGCAAGGCAAGTCATGTCTATGTGCACCACATAGTTAGCTTGTTTCACAAGCTATTAATATGTGTGGTACATGGTTAACTTATTGACAAAGTTTTTAACCTATCAATTAACTACAAACATGTTTAAAGTCAAAATTGAATCTATGAAGCTTCTAAAAAGCTTCTTTAGAAGATATTATAAAATTAATTTTATATATCTACTTCCATTTAATCATATAAGTAACTATTGGAATCAATGTATATGTCCGTTGTTGTGTTGTGGTTTGGCTACTATATGAAAATAATATAATTATGTACTTAGTATATAATTTACTAAGTAACATGGTGAGAGTCGTGTTAGTAGATTTTAGTTGGTTGTAGAATATAATTTGATTATTACCTTGAGAAGAGGTTGTTTAAAAAGATCACTATAGAATTTGTATAACTTTAATTTCTTTTGATAGTGGCTTTTAAGATTGGTTTTGGTTGATAGTAACTTCTAAATATTTAGAGTCACCTTTGTTAGGTATTGATGACCTTTGAAAACTTATTTTGGTTCTTTTATTTGGTGTTTAGAGCATAAATTATGTAAATCTTATAAAAAAAAGGATTGAAGAAGGGTTTTGGTAGCAAAGGGAGTAATTAGGGAACCAATATAGATGAATGGAGATGAATAATGAAAATCTCCATTCCTATTGGTCAAAAATCATGACCAATAGGCTTTGAGGAGGCTGCCCGAGGCCATATTAGAGATTAGGGTTAGTTTTTTGGGCCATTCAAACTTTAAATGCTAGGATCAGCAAGTTTAGGTTTTTGGCTATGGTTTTGGTTCAAGTTTTGTATGATTTGGAGTTTACGTGAAGAACATATAGGTGCTTAAAGTTAAGGTGTTGATTTGGGAGCTATTGTCACTCTTTTTGGCATAACACACGCGTACGGAGGGCAATTGAGGATCGGCAAATGCAACTGGAGAGAGCACTTTTGCAGCTACATTTTTTTCATATTGCTTATTGGATTCCAAGTTGAAATAGAGGAGTTATTGGATTTTGAAGTCAGTGCATGCAATCTAAGGGTAGTAAGTGACCCGATTTACTAGTGGTTGTGTCTTGAGCTATATCTTGAGTAATTCGACAATATTTTAGCTTAAATTTTCAAGGAATGTGTAAATTCATGTTAATAAACTTTATACATAAGTTTGATGATATTTGAGTATTAGATTCTTGAGATATTAAGAAAATAGTGCTCAGGTGCTTGTAAATTAGGGTTTAGAGTATTTGCTAGGGTTTCTTAGATGCCAAAAGATCGAGAGTGAATTTGTAGTTGATATTTTTTGGGATAAAACTTAAGGGTGAATTCTACCTATCCTATAAATTTTAGACAAATTGAATAGTTAGATCAAGAGTTATGAATTTCTAAAGTTCAGAAAGAGAAAATCCTTTGTGGGAAAAATATGTGTTGAAGGGGTTTTGTTATATTTTGAGTTTTATGCAAAGTAAAGGAGTTTTAGAATCTAAGACAAGATTCATATAAAGGTTTAAGCTAAACTCTCTACAGCTAGATATCCAGTATATTAATCTTTTGTTGTTCTTGAGCTTCGTTTAACTATGCCTTCATTATTGTATGTAGCTTTAACA